AATCGATCCAACCCGACCTTTACCCCACACGTAAAAAAAAAAAAAAGAACAAAAGGGGCTAGATTGAAAAAGCCCTTCTCCCATATATATATATATATATATATATATATATATATATATATATATATATATATATATATATATATATATATATATAAAGGAAAAGTGCAAGAGAAGAGAGAATGGACTTGGTCCAATTTGTCACAAAAAAGAAAGAAAGAAAGAAAAGAAACAGAATCGAAAGGAGTAGGAAAAGCATGAGGAATAGGTTAGTGGGTCTAGGCCACAAACTAATTTCTTTGACATTTTGATTTTTTTTTTTTGCCCAATTATTTTTATTTCTTGTTGTATTTTATTTAGTTATTTATCGCGGTATTTGAAATTTGGTATTTTAATTTTTACGTTAATTTACTTTCGTGTGTTGTTAGATTAGAAAAAAATAATAAAAATCCTTGACGAAGTCTCCTATCTAATAGGGATCGACGTTGCCAAAAATTATCTAAACTTTTTGGCGAAACCTTCTACTTGATAGGGACTAACGCTACCAAAAATATAAAATAATAATAATAATAATTTTGACGAAGTCTTTTATTTGATAGAGACCGATGTCACCAAAAAGAATATCTAGAATTTTCGATGAAGTCTCCAATTTGATAGGGACCGATGTCACCAAAAATCAACTTTTAATCAAGATGTCCTCCGACACACCGGTTGTGTCAAGGCTTATAGTAGATCCGATATTTGAACCGACGTGTCGCCCAACGAAAGGGACCGACGATCATTTCAATACGATGCCACCCCCAAACTAAAAAATTTAATTTAACTTTGAAAAAAATAGGAGTTTAAAAATTAAAAAATAGTTTGACATGGATTTTATGGAGATGAATTTAGAATTAAACCCTACGAGGTATATTTTTCTCGAAAGGGGCACTTTTAGGTGGTTAAATACCTTTCTAAAAATGTAACCAACTCCTTGCCATAGAATCTTTGGACCAATGTCTATTTTAGATTCCTAGTTCCTTTAATGCTAGGTGGGGACTCCAAACTCTATAAATAAACTTTTAAATACCAATTAGCTCTTAGAGTTTTTTTTTTTTGGAGTCCCATCCGATGTCTGGTAGCGACATACTTCGACTTATATTACTTTTTTTATTTAAATTTCATTCTTTGAATTTATCATTGTTTTTAATGAAAAATATCATTCAATTAATATTTTTTGTATGAAATTTCATTTACTAATATTATATAATTTATTTTTCTTTGTGTTTGAATTTTAGAATAAAATTTTAAAATATGATTTTTTTCTTTTTTTAAAAATAAATTGGTTATAACATATATCATGAATTCTTATAATTTTTAAATGATAGTTGCACACACACACACACACACACACACACACATATATATTATTCTAAAAGGTTAAAAGTATATTTTAAATAATTGATCTTAGTTTACTAGGTATGGTCAAGACGTATAAAAAAATTATTGAATTGTTAATTTTATTAAAAATTAACTATACATCTTTCAACATAATACAAATTATTTACAATAAATATTTTTTTTAACATTATATAATCAATTTATTTGAAATCAAATAATTAAAGTAATTTTTTAAAGAAAATAACCAATTATTCAAATTTTTATGCTAATTTTATTGATTATTTTGTAAGTAAATGTATAGATATCAAATGCGAGTACTTGGGAAAAAAAAACTTCTCTCCAACATTAAATAAGAATAAAATTTTATTTTTTCATTAGTTAATTTTTATGCAAGTCTATACATTAATTGTAACTTTATTTTTTGCATACATTCTTATAAAAAAAGATAATTTTAAGCTATTTGTTTTTGAATTCTTAATTAATATTTCGGGTTTGAATTATTATAAGTTTTTATTTAAGAACCCCTCAATAAAGAACAATAAATTATGGTTTTTAAAGTAGGATCAAAGTTTTATGAAAAAACACACACAAAAATGGTAATAATGAAATAAAAAATTATAACATTTTGAAATGATTTTGTTCTATTTGCCAATAGCGTTGTGCGGATAATTTTAAAAATTAATTTTCTTATCAACATTAAATAAATTTTTTCTCATTTGTTAATTTTTATAAAGTCTCGTCTATTAATTATAAATTTATTTTTTTGAATATAATAATGTGAAAATTATATTTTTATTTTTTTTCAATTCTTGATTAATATTTTAGTTAAAATTATTAAAATTGTTAATTTTAAAATCAATCCATAAGGAAGAATGATTTATGTTTTTTCAATCAGAAAATTTATAAAAAATATTAAAAAATTTAAATTTTAAAATAATTTTATTCTATTGAAGCTGCGGCGTAGTGCGGGCAACCGATTCGTATAATCTATTAAATCTAATAAATATGCCATTAGTATATTGGACATTCCTCAATAGCCCTCTACCTCCAAAAGCTAGTTGTTTTAAACTTTCCTTATTTTGCTAAAATATCATTCATGTATTATTCAACTATATTGTTTTAATTAAAATTTATAATTTTGTATATTAATATGAATTTAAACATATTTAGTTAAGTACATTCGGCATTACTTTTTGAAGATAGGGTTTCTTTGGGATTTTTTTATTTTATCTTTATTGTAGTTTTTCATTAAAGGAAAATTGAGGATTTTTATATTTATTACATAAACCGAGACTCAATCTTTTCATTTCATGACTTTAAAAAAGCACCAGTTATGCCCAAAATTTAAATTAAGACGAAGACGTGGGATAATTCTTCGGCATTCATGGATGAAATAGACATCAATGAGATGGATTGAATCCAGTGTCGGATAGGTTTAAAGGTTCAAAGGAGGTTTTATTGTTCAATAAACAGTGAAAATTATCTCACGATAGGACTGTTCACCTAGATTATTTTTAGCCAAAGAGTCCGCCCCAAAGTTTCATTCCCTAAGAACACTTACTGATTTCAAGGACAAATTAATATTTGAAATTGAATTAAAGTTTGAAATTTCCAAGTCCTAACAGCAGGACAAATGTTCACCTATGTAATAGCATTAGTGCTCGAACCTGATAGTAAAATCCAATTTATCATATAGCCAAAGGCAAAGCAACGCTTATTTCAATTTTTTTTTCTGAATTATTTGGACCTCCCCTTTATTAGACTCTTTGATTCTTGTAGAAATTTTAAAAATACACGAAAAATTCCACTGTGATCTCTCAAAACACCACTTATCTCACGAGACGGTGATAAATAAATAAATGACCTGCATTATATAGTTCCACTGACCTGATTCAAGGAGCGTTGTAAATTTGTTTAACTCATTTATCAGTTAAGAAATCAACTGTTTCTTACAATCAAACGCAGTTAATTTTGTACTGTGTATTAGTCTGAAAATATTATTTTTATGTAAATACTATTAGGTCAGCTAAGATGAAAATATGATACTAGGTCAGCTAAGATGCTAGACGTCATGGTCTATCTGATCATGGATATATTGTACTCTTGAAACTTCAAAGGTCATTAACATCATTATGGAATACTAAAATGCCTGAATCCAGCAATAAACTCCAACCAAATCCAAAACCAAATTGAGAAAAAATGATGGGAAAGTGGCAAGAATTGTTCCCAACAAGGAAGAAATCACGGAATTAAAAGCAGTCAATCATGACCACCCCAAATTCATAAACCATATTAGTCTCTTTCACCGGATAAAACTTGTCAGGGATGGTATTTTTCACCAAAGTTGGGAAGAGAGGTCATTCTCCCTGAACGATTCAACGTTGATTTTCACCGGATAAAAATTCATATATTGTACTCTTGAAACTTCAAAGGTCATTAACGAATGTGATTATTGTTTTATGTATGAGGAAATTTTCGTCGTTAATAATTATATTTTTTGTTTTTTTATTTCAAATGCTTACTTTTTATATATATTAAATTTCAAATAATTATTTTAAGAATATATATATATATATATATATATATATATATATATATATATATATTTCAAAATTAAGCTATTTTATATGAAAAATGGGGACTAATCCTTATGGGATTGTTAAAACTTAAATGATGAAACTAAAAGTAAGAAAATTAAATTTTTTTAGCAAAAAATATTATTAATAGAGAGAGAGAGAGAGAAAAAAAAAAAACCATCCAACAGCCAAAAGGCTTGGAACTTGAAGGGTGCCAACAATCAAAACATGTTTTCTACACCAAAACAAACCTAAGGACCCAACCATATATAAAAAGAATTAGAAAGAAGTCTTGATGTCTATAAGTATACAGACATTGCTTTTCGAAAGAATTAGAAATAAAAAGAAAAAGAAATGAAACGACTGGATAAAAGAAAGGAAATGGGAAAAAGAAAAGAAAAGATAACAATAAAAAAGTAAAGAAAAAAGAAAGAAAGAAAGAAAGAAAAGAGTAGTGGTATTAATGAGTAAAAACTATGCGCGGTTAATTACTATCTTTGTCAAATGATATGGAATCATTTCTTAATAACATATCATCTTTTACAACTTAGGATTATTCTAATTGTATAGCACATATTGTAATGAACATTTCTTGTCAAATGATATATTCTTAACCGTGTTAATTAAGGTTTAATTCCAAGATAAGATGAGAATTAATGTTATATATATATATATATATATATATATATAAATTATTCTCAACATGCATAATATATTTTATTTAATGTTTTTGAATGCTATTTTCTTTTAAGCAAAGAAATATATTTTAGGTTCTTGAAACTTGACTATGGTAGTATTTGTATTGAGCATAAGATTGCCTGTGATGCAATCCAATTTGTTTTAGGTGTAGTGGAGCAATGTCCTGTTTATCAGGGAGAACCTACTTGGTGGAAGCTACATTACAATGGTGTTAATGGATTTAATAACTGAGGCTATTTGGTTTTGAAATTCAGTGTTATCTATTGTTCATTAACCATTTAATTTAGAATTTTACATGTAATTTTTTTAACTTGGTTATTCAAATTGAGTTTTAACTATACTTTTCTACTCATTGTAAATGGGTTTAGAGTCTAAAAAACTCAAAAGACATTTTGTGTTGTCATCGACTTCATCGCCTGCATAACCCATGAGATAGTAGTTAAATAGCAGCTCTACATCCATTTCCTTAAATTCTTCTTGAAGAGCATAAAACTAGCTAGAACAGTGTCATCTTCAATTGTACAGTGATAGAAATCAAAGTCGGTATTAATTGGGAGAAGCGCTCGTAAAGGAGGTAGAACTGCTGAAGCAAAGCTATAATCATACACATGGAAAACATTGTTAAATGCCTAGTAAAATTTAAAATTTGATCATAGCTTATTTTGTGCTTGCCTGTGCCAGGATGGGTGAATGCTGCTTTGGTATCATTTGGTTTTGATGATTCTATTGGAATTATCTGTGTTTTTTTTTAATAGAAATCAAATATGCAGAAAAATAAATAAGGGATGAATTTCTTAGTATGCGTCAGCCCAGCTCTCTTTAATGCCGGTTCGGCTACTGTTAAATCTTGATTGATAGAGCTATATGACAATGATATCAATGGATTTAATCGATGGAGTTTGATTTTGAAATTCAAAGTTTTCTAATGTTCATCTAACAATTCATAATTCTGCTATGCTGGTTAACTTGCCAATTCTACAACTAAGAATCTAGGATGCCAAGCCATTTTTGTCGTAGATCTTATCCATAAAATTCCCTAAAGATCTAGATGCTCAAAATAATGACACAGACAAGAATATTAGGATTACTTCTAGCGAAACCGATTACTGTTTTATGTATGAGGAAATTTTCTGTCATTAATAATTAAATTTTTTATTTTTTATTTCAAATGCTTAATTTTTCTATAAATTAAATTTCAAATAATTATTTTAAGAATATATATATATATATATATATATATATATATATATATATATATGTTCAAAATTAAGTTATTGTATATGAAAAATGGGTTCTAAATGAGTCAACAGCGTTCGAAAAAATAGCTTACAGTAATCACTGAATTCTCTGATGAAATTTTACGTATTCAATGAGCAATTAACTCTGCAAAAGAGATATAGAGACAAATAAATAGATAAAATTAATATAAAAAAATTGAATCTAGAGGAAAAATATATATATATATATATATATATTGGTCGATGTAGATAGGAATCACATTTGTTGAGGTTTTTCACTTATCAATTAAATTGCACGTAAGTTACAAAACCGTTCAAAAATGCATGGACATGGATATGATCACTGGGGAGCCTGAAAATGGACGCTAACACTAAATACACAGACAAGAAGAAGCTCGAACCGATGAAACAAGTGGTGATGGCAAGCCCCAAGGAAGTTGCTAGCACTGCATAAGTGCCTGTAATAAATGCCATAACCATTGCATATATAGCATACAAGGTTAACCCCGTGGCCAATCCTACTAATTGGCCAATTTTATCCTTATCAGTTTTATTCCGAGCACGAAGAAATGGCAAAAAAAAGTGGATAAAGACAGCAGAAAGTGAGAGCACCATTGCTATTGTATCTGATATAAGAAATGCTATAAAAGCAGCCTTCTTAGTTAGAATTGCCGTGCCTTCATTCGGGCCTTGTTCGTTCTTGTAACCGCCAGGCAAGGTGAAAGCTGCTGCAAATGTTACCGTTGCTATGAGCGCTGCTACTACTAGATGAGCCTCTCTTATTTTATCCAAGGATTCATCTTCTAAGCTTGGCCTTTTCTCTTCTTCCGCCTTTTTCTCTTCTTCCATAACAATGAGTTCAAAGGGTCCACTACCAACATCTTCAATGGATTTTAAGATCTCTTTCTGCAAAGGAAACATTTTGGCTAAAATATTGTAAATGATCCATTATTTTTATCTAATTATCAAATATCATCTATCAAATTCCAAGCCTTTCCTTTTGTTTCCAGAACTTTGCAATTAAGTCCTTTTCGTTACTATACTATCGAACTTTAGCTGGTAAATTGCTGAAGTCCTTTCTATTAAAAAATTAAGCTTTTTAGGAGAGGCAACACGATTTATATTATACAATAATCATAAAAATTATATCAATCATATTAATTTTATTATAAAAATGGATAACATAGAGAAAGGAGTATGCTAAATGTACACAAAACATAAAAAAATATATTTTTTAATTCTTTTTTCCCAACACAATAAACATTGGAAATTAATTTATTGTTTTTTAAGAATTCATCCATTAAGAAATTTGTTTTTCAAAACGAATTTATTTTCTGACAAACAAACTTTCAGTTTCAATTTGCTATATGTGTGTGATTTGGATGCACAAAATGTCAGCACAAATTAGTAATGTGATCAATGTATAATTAACATTGGAAAAAATAACAGCAAAAAAAAAATAATAATAAAATAAAATTAATGGACAATTGGGTTGACCAACACAATTAACGAATTTGGATAAGATTTTATCAAAAACCAATATTTTGGGATCCAAATTTTGTAAATTGATAATAAATGTTTGAAATTGTCAAATTACAATAAAATGAGGACAAATTTTGCTGTAATACCCATAAAACTTCATTATCCTTCCATAATACAAATGTATAATACAATAGCTTAATAACTGAATATGAATTATGTCACTACATAAATATAATATTGTTAAGAAAATAATTCAAAAAATAATTTATAATATATAATAATTTATAAGTTCGTTTATATAATATTCTTAGAAAATATACACGCAATCTTTCTATTCCAAAAATATTGCTATCTTTGACTTTTTATATAAATTAAGAAAGTTATAAATTATTTTGTCATATCAATATTTTTTTAATCAAGTTGGATGTATTACCTTAACCATTAATTAATCAAGGAGATTACCTTTTTCCTGGGAAAATTTCCTTGTAATATGTTATCAACGCTCAGCCCTTGCTTGTTAACGCCACCCATCTTGCCTTCAACTGTTTGGAATTCCAACGGGAGTTCAAGCCAGGAAAATTTGTCGAAAACAGCCAATAGGTGCAGGGGCGTGTTTCCTTCGTCATCCTTCTCATATATAAGTTGGACAAGTTTAGGAATTTTTACAGCCTTTTCAAACACTTCCCTTCTTCTTGTACTAGCTACAGCACAGTGAAGGGCATTCCAACCTCTACTGTCTACTAGTTCACAGCAAGCTGGACAAGCTGAAACAATCTCTTCCATCACTTCTGCATTTCCTTGAATGGCAGCTATATGAAGAGCGGTTCTCTTCTTGTCTGTATCAATAGTATTGTAGGCTGCAGACACATCATATTTTAGTAATATTTTCACTATTGAAGTACTATCCCGAGAAGAAAAATAGGCAGCATAGTGAAGCGGTGACCACCCATTTTCATCAGCTATCTTCGTCAAACTCTGTTCCTTTGGTAATAATGTTTTTACAGTGACTGAAACAAACAAATAAAATAAAAATAAAAATTAATAGCTATATATACACAGCAAGTAATACTGTATGAATAGGAAATATGATTATTTGTTTAAAACAAAGCTAACTTAATTTTAAACTTGTCTTTTTCTTTAATTTTTAAAATTTCAATTTACCCTCGATGGTTTTTAAAAAGTTAATCTAGTTTCTCCTCATGATGTTTCGATTGTTTTAATGTCCTCCTTGAAATTTCAATATTGAATCAACTAACAAAATTTTGCTTTTTCAGTCCCTAAACTTTTAAAATTAAATCAAATAGACCTTTTGCAAATAATTTGATGAGATGAAATCTTCTAATTTCAATGAGTTCTAAATGATGCCACATACATCATTTTTATTTAAAAATATAAATACAAAAATAATAAAAAAAATAATAGAATACATATCAAACTAAAAATTATATGTAAAGATAAAGTTTAACTATGAAATCATTAGAAAATAAATAATAAATAGTCTCTATTTTTCTTTGGATGGGCCAACCACTCACCATGTCCCAATATTATGTGGTCTTTCTAATTATTTTATGTTTTTTCTTTGTTTTCAATGGAAACCATATAAAAAAAAGGATAAATTTTAATTTTGTATCTTATACTTTTAAATATAAATGATAGACATGGTATCATTTATACTTTTAAATTGGAGTAATTAAAGCTTTTATCTCATCAAATTATTTTAAGAGAATTCTATTTGATCAAATTTTAAAAATTTTGGGACTGAAATTTTTTTTCTTGCCTTGGGTAACTTGAAGGGGGACATTAATACGTGATTAAAACTTTAGGATGGACATTGAAACAATGAAAATCTCAATAGGAGAAACTAAATTCTCCTCAAACCCCAAAAGATAAATTGAGATTAACTGTAAAATTTTAAATTACGATAATTCTTTAACACAAATACAAGCAATCACATAATCGTGTCAAGCTTGGTCATGGTAGTGTTCTTTTTTTAAAATATTTAGAATTAGTTTTTGTACTTTATGGATTAGAGTTCTACCATAATAATGAATGAATGCAGCATTCTCTAGCACAAAATCTTACCATAATCACCATTCATGACTGCGGCATGCAGTGCTGTTTTACCGTTGGGGCCACCATAGTCCACTAATTTGCAATTCTTTAAGATTGTATCGATCACCGTTCTCATAGCTGTTGCTTTAGGTCGCCCAAAAATATTCATATTTGTAACGAGATAGAGTGGAGTTGCTCCATAATGATTGGCGGAATATGAAAATTCAGGGTCCTCTTTAGTCAATATTTCCACCACACGGCTCCGGAGATTTTGAGCTGCCACATGCAATGCTGTATCTTTCTCTACATTAATCGTCCTCGACATCTTCTTTGCTTCTGTAAGCCCGCTTTCTAGATCAAAAGGTAGATCTTTTGCACGATCAATGAGGACTGTCACCACATTGGCAAGGTCATGTCTTGCCGCGAAATGCAGTGGGATTTCACCTTTTATGTTGGGTTGCAATAGAAGGGGTGGACACTTTTCAAGAATTCGATCCACAAAATCAGTGGATTTCGGTTCTCTACTTTGGTTTTTCAAGTAGACGTGAAGAATTGTGTTTTTGTTTGGAGTCAATATCTGATTAAAAGAAGTTCCATAACTCTCAAATCGATCAATCTTGCCTTGTACTGCAGCTTTGTACATGTCAGGATCCATGTAGGTGATGCTTTGCTCAGGCAAATCCATCTTGCAAAACTGAGGCTATCGAACTCCAAAAAAATGAAATGTAATCAAATAACGAAGGGGAGGAAAATGTATTATACAGGTTGCACTTCGAAAATGAAAACACAGAGTTTTATAGTGATAGCATTGTGGACGTTTAAAAGTTATGCAATTACAAGTTTTTTATTAAATAAATCGTGGCTTCAATGTAAAAAGATTCTTTTGTTCGCGACAGCATTCTGGAACAAGCAAATATAAAAAGGAAAGTAGGTCATGTGTATTCCTTTCTAGGATTATGAAATATATATATATATATATATATATATATATATATATATATATAGTAACAAAAAGAAAACTAACCATTAGACAATATTTACGCAGAATGATAAGGATCCGGCTTTTAGAATCGGCCATTATCACGGTTCTACTAAGAATTTTTTGTTGCTAGATTATGCGCTTGAACCTTGCAAGGAAGTTCCGCTTGAAGAAATTGTTAAATGGAGGTTCTGCTTCAAGTAAAGAATTGTTAAATAACTTCATCTTGATGAAATTTAGAATTTTTTGTCGCTAGATTCTGCATTTTAACCTTTCAAAGTTCAGCTTGAAGGAATTGTTAAAAGGAGGTTCTGTTTCAAGTAAGGAATTGTTAAGTAAGTTCAGCTTGAAGCAATTAGGAATCTTTTATTGTTAGATTCTGCGCTTTAATCTTTCAAGGAAGTTCATTTTGAAGCAATTGTTTAAAGGAGGTTCTGCTTCATGTAAAGAATTGTTAAGTAAGTTCAGCTTGAAGTAATTAAGAATCTTTTATTGTTAGATTCTGCGCTTTAACCTTTCAAGGAAGTTCATTTTGAAGCAATTTTTTAAAGGAAGTTCTGCTTCAAGTGAAGAATTGTTAAGTTCAGCTTGAAGTAATTAAGAATTTTTTGTTGCTAGATTTTGCGCTTTAACCTTTCAAGGAAGTTCAGCTTGACGGCATTGTTAAACGGAGGTTCTGCTTCAATTCAAGAATTGTTAAGTTCAGCTTGAAGTAGTTAAGAACTTTTTGTTGCTAGCTTCTGCGCTTTGACCTTTCAAGGAAGTTCAGCTTGAACAAATTGTTAAACGGAGGTTTTGCTTCAATTAAAGAACTGTTAAATTAATAAGTTCAGCTTAAAGCAAGGAATTGTTAATCCAAAGTCACTAATAGTACTTGTAATTAAGAGCTGGTAAACTCAGACAATGCCCATGATCAATCATGGGATCAATCATGGGCCATTGTTCATGACTTTTTTTTTAAAGTGAATTTGAGCCATTGATAAGTTCTTAAGAAAATTGCTCAATCCAGTGCCCGATAAAGCTACTTGTGATCATTTGTTAGCATGTTCAAAAACATATAATAATAAATGAAAGAAGAAAAATATGAACGAGAAAAGGTGACTAAGGAAAACGAAATTAGAAAAGAAGCCGAAGGTAAAGTAAAAGTGATACAGTCATCAAAAAATGTAACAATGTCATTTTATTGCATAAAATAATGTAAAGTATTCGTACACCTAATTCTTCATTAAGGCTAATTAAACTGATTGAGTATATGGGTTTAGTTTTAGGGTTTTACACTTCTCTCTACTTCCATAGCCATATATGATCCTTTAATCACCATAAACACAATGAAGAAGCTACTCAAACCAACCAAACAAGTGGTTATCGTAAGCTCTAGTATCATACTCCTCAAAATGAGCCTTTGGATGGAATCTTATCTCTAATTTAATACAGCCACTAAACACATAATTGTTTTCATAGTAAAAGTCAAGCTAAATAAAAAAGAAAGTAGGTCATGAAGTCCTTTCTAGGGTACTGAAAATAAAAAAGTAATAGTAATAAAAGGAAAATTAACCATCATGAGTGTTCTGCTTTCACTTTTTGGTTGCTAGATTCTGCACTTTTAATCCTTTAGGCAAGTTCAGCTCGAAGTAAGGAATTGTTAAATAACTTCAGCTTGATGAAATTAAGAATTTTTGTTGCTAGATTCTGAACTTTAACCTTTCAAGGAAGTTCAGCTTGAAGGAATTGTTAAAAGGAGGTTTGCTTCAAGTAAGGAATTGTTAAGTAATTTCAGTTTGAAGTAACTAAGAATTTTTTGTTGCTAGATTCTGCACTTTAACCTTTCAAGGAAGCTCAACTTGAAGGAATTGTTATAGGAGGTTCTGCTTGATCAAGTAAAGAATTGTTATGTGAGTTCAGCTTGAAGTAATTAAGAATTTTCTGTTGCTAGATTCTGCGCTTTAACCTTTCAAGGAAGTTCAGTTTGAAGGAATTGTTTAAAGGAGGCTCCGCTTCAAGTAAAGAATTGTTAAGTTCAACTTGAAGTTACTTGAAGTAATTAGGGATTTTTTGTTGCTAGATTCTGCGCTTTAAACTTTTGAGAAAGTTCAGCTTGAAGGAACTCTTAAAAGGAGGTTCTGCCTCATGTAAAAAGAATTATTAAATAGTTGAGCTTAAAGTAAGGAATTGTTAATTCAAAGTCACTAATAGCCCTCGTAAGAGCTGGTAAATTCAGACAATGCCAATGATCAATCATGGGCCTCGAGATGACAATTTGCCGGGTATCTAGCCCCTTACAGCAATCCATATTCTACCCATTAAAAAATACCATACTCATTACTCTACTCATTATCCACTAATAATCACTTGCTCATTTCATTATCCACCCTATACTCATTATATCGTACCATACCCAAATCCTATTTATATTCATTGACCTGCTAATTTTTTTCCTTAAATTGAAGAATTTTTTTTTTTTTTTTTTTTTATTATAAACTCTTTTTGTCTAAACTCTTTTTATATAGTTAAAATTTTAAAATAAATTATAATTAAACATAGAATTTTTAACTTCGATTCATACTGTTTTTTTTTTCAAATAATCTGCTCCCCTTTTAATGTCAAATATATTTTTTATGGAAATTTATATAGTTTTTTTTTTTTTTTTGGTCAAATACACTTTTAATCAAACCATTTTTCATAAATTTTATGAAAAATAATATTTGAATCGCTTTTTAAAGTTAAGATAACTTTTTATCATTTAAGAGGAGGCTCTCTAAATAAGTGAAGAGATTTTTTTTACATTTCAATGGTGAAATTTGAGAGAAAAATATTAAAAAGAAATAGTTATCATATAAAATTGCGCGTATTAAAATTGAAGTATATTTGGAACAATCCCTCTCCTCTCCTCTTGAAGAAAAAAATTAAAAAGTTGATTCAAAGAAAAAACTTCTCTATTAGATTGGTTTGCAAAAGAACTGAGCATTGAAATTGAAGTATATATGCAACATTATTCTTTGAATTGGACATTTTTTTATCGTTTGAAATATTTTGTTAAACAACTAGATGGTACATTTTAAATTGCAGTGACTATGAGTAATATTAATAGGTAAAAGATGGGTATTAATAGGTAAAAAAAAAAAGTATCCATGTTATAAATAAATTATCCATTAGCATAAATAGATAATATTATTTTACTCATAATTAATTCATTATCCATTAAAATATTTTTAAAGAGTAATTAAACTTAGGTTGGGTAAGATTCCTATTTTATATCCGATCCATATGGGCCACTGTTCATGACACTTGCTCTTTAAGTGAATTTGAGCTTTTGATAAGTTCTTAAGAAAATTGCTCAATCCAGTGCCCAACAAAGCTACTTGTGATCAATTTTTAAGCATGTTCAAAAACATATAATAATAAACGAAAGAAGAAAAAAATGAACCTGAAAAGGTGACCAAGGAAAACGAAATTAGAAAAGAAGCCCAAGGGAAAGTAAAAGTGAAACAACTATAAAAAAAGAAAAAGAAAAAAGAAACAATGTCATTTTATTGCATAAATAATGTAAAGTATGGATAATCTTGTCACTACCCGACGTCGGATGGGACTTTCAAAAAAATTTATGAAATTTTTATTTATAAAATTATTTATAAATTTGGAGTCGTTACGTAATATTGAAAGAACTAGCAACCTAAAATAGGCACTAGTTCGGAGATTCTATAATAAGGAGTTAGTTATGCTTTTTAGAAGTCATTTAATCACCCAAAAAGGTCCTTTCTAAAAAAAGATAACATGTTTGGTTTAATCTTAAAATTTATCTCCTCGAAAAAATATATTTTTGCCAAAAATTAACCTTTGTCTAAATTGCAAGTCCTTTATTTCAAAACTGAATTTTTATTTTTGGGCATGCATCGTATTGAAATAATCGTCGGATCCCTTCAACAGAGACACATCGGTTCAAACATCATATCCACTTTTTAAGTCCTAACATAATCGGTGTGTTGGAGTGTCGAAGAAAACTTGAATTAATTAAAAAAAAAAATTGACTAACAACAATCTCTATCAAATAGGAAACTTTGTTAAAAGTTTTATGATTTTTTTTAATTTTTATATTTGGTGAAAGATCGTCATCGGTACTTAAAGAATTAGGAGATTTGACAATCGTCTACCTATTTAATTACCAATCTAATTACTAAAAAAATAAATTAAAGTTACATTAATTAAATAAATTAAAGAAAATGCAAATACTGAAATCGAAATTAATTATAAAAAACATGCATAAAATAATTCAAGGTTAAAATTACATTAATTAAAATAATTACAGAAAATTAAACTATGAGATCTAAATATAAAATTGACAAATATGCATAAAATAAATTCAAGACTAAAATTACATTAGTTAAAATAATTAAAGACAATTTAACATCTAAATTGAGGAGCCCTAGGTTTGAATTGAGGTCAATTCGACTTCAATTTGGTGTTTAACCCCAAATTCAAACCCTACCTCACTTTAATTAGCCCTTCTTTCAATTCCCCAAGCTCAATTTCAAATCAAAATGCAAAATCTCAAAATAATAATAATAATAATAATAATAATAATAAAATAACTATCGAATTACATTGAAAAGGATAAAAAGGGTGGACTACCTCAATAGATTCGGGTTGAGGTTGATGATGGAAAAGTGTTACTCGCTTCCACAATTAGGTAAATTTCTGTTTCTCTTTTCTCTTTTTTCCCCTTTGTTTTTTTGTCTCTCTTACTCGTTTGTTTAGGTTTTTCTTTTCTTTTCAATTTTTGAACTCCTCTTCCCTGACCCTAACTATCCTATCCTCTCGAAATGTGTAGATACATGTATGAAATGCATTTTTTTTTTATGATTTTTATTTTTTTATTTGATGGAAGATCGTCATCGGTCCCTAAAGAATTAGGAGACTTAACAATCCTCTACCTATTTAATTAACGAGTCTAATTACTAAAAAAAAATAAATTAAAGTTACATTAATTAAATAAATTAAAGAAAATGCAAATACTAAAATCGAAATTACTAATAAAAAAACATGCATAAAATAATTCAAGGTTAAAATTACATCAATTAAAATAATTACGTAAAATTAAAATATGAGATCTAAGTATAAAACTCGACAAATATGTATAAAATAAATTCAAGATTAAAATTACATTAGTTAAAATAATTAAAGACAATTTAACATCTAAATTAAATATGAAATAACAAACATGCATAAAAATAAATTTAAAATTTAAAACTTAGACAGACATTTTTTTTTTCAGAAGGGATCAAGCTGGGCTAGAAGGAGTCTAGCCCAAATTCTTCTTTTTTTTTTTTTTTAAGTTGAAAACAATCCAGTCCAGCCTCGCATGGTTGGGCTTGGCCCAACCCATGCTTTCCTTTCAGCTGGACCCAAAAGAAACAAACATAAGTTTTATTTTCCCCCACAATCAAATTGGATCAAAACCCTATCTTTTCTCTCCTATCTCACCTGATCTCCCTCTCTTTTTTCTCTCTCTTCTCTTTCTCTGTTCCACCTTTAGAGACAAATTAGAACCGGTTTGTCTTCGTCACTCCATCTCCTTTTCTTCTCTTTCCTTTTCCTTTCCTCTTCTTTCTCTTCTCCTCCCTTTTCTTTCTCCATGATGACAATTACATTTTAAGTCTCGACATAATCGGTATGTTGGTGTGTTGGAGAACACCCGAATTAATAATAATAATAATAAATTTGACTAATAACAGTCTTTATCGGATAAAAGATTTTGTTAAAATTTTTATGATTTTTATTCTTTTTCATTTTTTTATTTGATGGAAGATCGTCATTGGTCCCTAAAGAATTAGGAGACTTGACAATCCTCCACCTATTTAATTACCAAATCTAATTACTAAACAAATAAATTAAAGTTATATTAATTAAATAAATTGAAGAAAATGCAAATACTGAAATCGAAATTAATAATAAACATGCATAAAATAATTCAAGGTTAAAATTAATTTAATTAAAATAATTACAAAAAATTAAAATATAAGATCTAAGTATAAAACTCGACAAATGTGCATAAAATAAATTGAAGATTAAAATTAAATTAGGTAAAATAATTAAAGATAATTTAACATCTAAATTAAATATGAAATAAAAAACATGCGTAAAAATAAATTTAAAATTTAAAACTAAGACACATTTTTTTAAATCTTTTTTATTTTTATTTTTTAGAAGGGTTCAGGCTGGGCTGGACTTAAATTTCTTCATTCTTTTTTTTTTTGGGCTAGAAACAGCCTAGTCCAGCCTCGGATGGGTTGGGCTCCAACCCATGCTTTCCTTTCAGCTGGACCCGAAAGAAACAAACACAAGTTTTATTTTCCCCTAAATCAAATCGAATCAAAACCCTCTCTCTTCTCTCCTATCTCACCCGATCTCCCTCACTGGTTCGTCTTTGTCCCTCCATCTCTTTTTCTCTCTTTCTTCTTCCTTTCCTCTTCTTTCTCTTCTCTTCCCTTTTCCTTCTCCATCGTTCTCCTTTTTCTTTCTCTCTCTCCCGAATCTCTCTCATTCTCTCCTCACCCTCATCTGCCCCAATCTCCATGGAGAACGAACCAGAGATCTCCCCTCTTCTCTCTCAATCCTTCCTTCCCTCTCACTCTATTAATCCCCCTCTTCAAGTTAGATCAAAACCCCTTTTTTGAAAATTTCCTCAATTCTGGCGAACCCTAATTTTCCAGTTCTTCAAAACTTTCTGTTAATTGACTTAATTTCTCTTGAAATCAAGCCAATTCCCACTTATTAGGAACCAATTTCTAGAAACCCCAAATCAATTTTTTTAAAAAAATTGAAGGAACCCTAGGTTTCAATTGAGGCCAATTCGGCTTCAATTTGGGGTTTAACCCCAAATTCAAACCCTACCTAAATTTAATTAGCCCTTCTTTCAATTCCCCAACCTCTATTTCAAATCAAAATGCAAAATCCCGAAATTCCAATAATAATAATAATAATAATAACTGTCAAAATTACATTGAAAAGGATAAAAAGGGTGGACTACCTCAATAGATTGGGGTTGAGGTTGATGATGGAGAAGTGCTGTTGCTTCCGCAATTAGGTAAATTTTTGTTTCTCTTCTATCTTCCCCCACCCCACCCCAACACCTCCTCTCTTATTTTTGGCTTCTTTTTTCTCTCTCTTACTGTCTGTATAGGTTTTTTTTTTTTTTTTTCTTTTCAATTTTGGAACTCCTCTTCCCCAGCCTAACTATCCTATTCTGTGAATTCTGTAGATACATGTATGAAATGCTTGGTTTAGGGTGATGAGTGGATGTCTAGGAGGTGCTGTAGGAGTTTGCTGGCAGTAGGGTGTTCGATCACCATCCGATAGCCTACAGAAGCAGCGATATACAGTGGAGTTTCTCCATGATCATTGGCGGAATATGAAAACTCTGGGTCCTCTTTGGTCAATATTTTCACAACATTGCTGCGGCTATTTCGAGCTACCACATGCAACGCTGTATCTTTCTCTACGTTTTTCATTCTCATCATCTTCTGTGCTTCAGTTAGCCCGCTCTCTGGATCGATAGGTAGAGCTTTCGCACGGTCAATAAGAACTTTCACTACTTTGGCATGCCCATATCTTGCTGCGAAATGTAATGGGGTTTCTCCTTCTAAATTGACTTGCAACAGCAATGCTGGACACGTTTCAAGAACTTGATCAACAAAATCAGTGAATTCTGGTTCCTCACTTTGGTTTTCGAAATAAACATGAAGAATTAAATTTAGGTTTGGAGTCATGAGCTGGTTAAGACAAGTTTGATAGTTCTCGAATGGATCAATGTTGCCTTCTGCTGCAGCTCTGTACAAGGCAGGATCCCATCATGTACTGTCAAGAATGTACGAAAATGAAAATATAAGAAAACGATGGATAGACTATTATGGCTCATAGGTAAGGGGTTGCATTCTACAACTGACCAAGCAGTTATTTATATAGGAAAATTCTTGCTTTGAAAGAGATAAGAGATAATTTTATAATAATAGAACTTTTACGTACCTTTAAAAGATTAACTTTAACTCTACTGTTGTTCTTATTAAATTTTTAAATTCTGTTTTCTCTAATCATATCATTACTAAAGTGAATTCAATGACTGGTTCTTTAGTTAAAAAATAGTCTTCATAGATGATGAGGTAATTTTATAGATTGGATGTAATTTTTAGTTGACCTCTTAACTAATTCTTCACTTGGTTGTATCTAATTTATTTATTTTTTTATCAGCTTTTTGCTAGCTATTTCCTTTTTCTTTTTTTATCAATTCAGTATAGCTAGATCTTATTAAAAAAAAAATTGAAAATTTATTACATAAATCGACGGTTCCATTTAAAAATCTTGTTTTTTTTTGGGTTACCCAACAGCAGTCTGGGACAAGCTAATAAAAGAAAAAAGAAAGAAAGTAGTCGTACTATCTTTCATAGATTATTGGAAATGAAAAGTAATAATAAAGAAGAAACTAACCATCATGAGTGTTTCTACTTTAATTTTATTTTTATTGTTTCTAGATTCTGAGCTTTATCTTTAAGGGAAGTTCCGCTTGAAGGAATTATTAAAAAAGGTTTTGCTTCAAATAAGCAAATTGTTAAAAGGAAGTTCAGCTTGGCGTAAGGGATAACTCTTTTTTTTGGGAAAAACACATGTAATGATGGCGCTTATAAGAGTTAAAAACTCACAAATTATCTAAGAATAGCTAGGATTTCAACCTAGGAATTCCCTCCATATTTATCAAGATTTGATTGTTTTGTGCGATTGAATTTGTTGACGATGATTAAATTGGATTTATCCGCGCTTCTAAGAGAACTCAATGAAGCAAAAAGATAAAAAAATGATTGAATTTCGTGAGATGAGCCAGTCCTTTCCACATAGGGATATAGGGAATTTTTGTTTGGTTTATTAAGTTGTGGTTTTTTTTTTTTTTCTTTGGGTTGAAATTTAACAGTGATGATTAATATACCGCTTTAATGCCAGTTCTGCTACTGATAAATCTTGATTGATAGAGCGTTATATCTCGGAGCTTTTTAATTTATAGATCTTATTGAATTGTTTTTTAGAACTATTTTCCCCTTGTTTATGAATTGTTTTTGAATAGTATTCTTTCATATGCATAAAGAAATATGTTGTAGGAGTATTTAAGGTTCTTGAAACTTGGCTATGACAATATTTGTTTTGAACATAATTGTTTTGTAAGATTGACTTTGATGATACCATCCAATTTGTTCTAGTTGTAGTGGAGCCATGTCCCTGTTTATCAGGGAGAACCTAAAACAAGTTATAACAGTGCCATCTTCAACTGTACGGTGATTGAAATCAAAGTGGGTATTAATTGGGAGAAGCGCTGTAAAGTTGGTAGAACTGCTGAAGGAAAGCCATGATCATACACATGGAAAACATTGTTAAATGCGTAATAAAATTAAAAATTGGATCATGGCTTATTTTGTGCTTGCCATTGCCAGGTTGGGTGAATGCTGCTTTGGGGTAATTTGGTTTTGATGATTATAATGGAATTATCTGTGTTTTTTTTTTTTTTTTTTTTGAATAGAAAAATAAATGAGGTATGAATTTATGACCCTAAACACTAAAAACACAAACAAGGAGAAGCTCAAGCCGATTAACAAGTCGTGTTGGCAAGCCCTAAGGAGGTTATTTTACATGAAAAATGAAGTCCAAACGAGTCAGTATCGTTTTTAATGTTATTTAAGGAATAATGAAAAATTGAGTTTGTTAGAAATATTTTTATCATTTTTATGGGTTGTTGATCGCATTTATTCAAGTTTTGCACTCATCAATTAAATTAAAAGGAAAATACAAAAAACATTTGAAAATTACAGATCAATGATAAAAGACGAACCATTGCAGTGCAATTCTCCAACTTCGAGGCATAAGAAAGATGCAACCATCTATAAACACAAAAAAGAAGAAGCTCAAACCGATGAAACAAGTGGTGATGGCAAGCCCCAAGGAAGTTGCTAGCACTGCATAAGTGCCTGTAATGAATGCGATAACCATTGCGCCCATAGCAATCATGGTTAACCACGTGGCCAATCCTAATAATAGGAGAGTTTGAATCTCAGCAACAGCTTGAGCACGATTTATCGCTGCCGAACAAAAGTGGGTAAAGACAGCAGAAAGTGAGAGCACCATTGCTATTGCATCTGATATGACAAATGCTATAAAAGCAGCTTTTTTAGTAAGAATTGCCGTGCCTTGATTAGGGCCTTCTTCGTTCTTGTAACCGCCAGGCAAGGTGAAAGCTGCTGCAAATGTTACCGTTGCTATGAGCGCTGCTACCACTAGATGAGCCTCTCTCATTTTATCAAAGATTTCATTCAGTTTCTTTTTGTCCTCTGAGCTTGCCCATTTTACTTCTCCCACAACAATGCGTCCAAAGGGTCCACTCCCAACATCTTCAATGGATTCTAAGATCTCTCTCTGCAAATGAAACATTTTGGCTAATATATTGTAAATGATCGATTATTTTTAGCTAATTATCAAATATCAACTTCCAAGCCTTTCCTTTTGCTTCCAGAACTTTGCAATTAAGTCCTTTTTTTTTTTTTTTTTTACAATACTACTGGATAGTCAAATATATATATATATATGTGTGTGTGTATTGCATTATCACAACAGTAAGTTATAGAGGATTAACTGGATTTAAGTAAAAGTTGGGATCATAAATTGAATTATCTTTCAAATTTGATAATTAGTAGTTAGGATAATAAATACATATCTCTTTTAAAAAATAATTACTAAAAGTTTTTCGCCTAACATTATATTATTGTGAACCAGCTTCTTATTTTAATTAAATAAGTTTTTATAGAAATAATAATAATAATAATAAATGGGATTGATTATAAAAGTAGCATATTTTATAGAAATTGGTAATTTTGTTTTTTTTGCAAAATTTACCATTATTGTTCTTTTTTTTTTTTTTAATTGGAGATGAGACTGAATTTACTTATTACTATTAGTATACTATGATCTAGTATTGTATTAAGGCTATAATGGGCTATAATGGTCAATCAATTTTTAAAAAAGAATTTGTGCTTCTACATATATATATATATAGAGAGAGAGAGAGAGAGTCACAACAGGTAGCTATAGAGGATTACCTGCATCTCAGGATTAGTTCCTTGCAATATGTTTTTGATGCTTAGGTTTTGTTTATTGCGACCACATATCATCTCTTTATCCATTTTACTTTCATATACAAACTCGCCCCAGTCCACTTGTCTGAACGCTAAAGCAGCAACTAGATGGAAGGGCGTGTTTCCTTTGTCATCCTTCTCAGTTTTAAGTCTGTCAATTTCTGGAATTTCAGAGGCTTTTTTATTACATATATGCTTTTACTAGCTACAGCATAATGAAGAGCATTCCAACCTCGGTTATCAACTATTTCACAGCAAGCTGGACAAACAAGAAACAATCTCTTTCATTGCTTCCACATTGCCTCCAAGGGCGGCTATATGAAGGGCTGTTCTGTTCTTGTCAGCGTCAACAATGTAGGCTGCGGACGCATCATATTCTAGTAATACTTTGGGTAAATAAAAGCTTGAGAAATAAGCAGAATAGTGAAGTGGTGACCATCCGTTCTGATCCGTTGTTCTTATCAAATTCTTTTCTTTTTCTAATATTTTTCTTGCCGTCTCTGAAAGCAACAAAAAAAGAAAACATAACTTAGTTGTTTCTTTAATTTGAAAAGATGATAGGACTCACTCACTATAATTAAATTTCATTTCTGAGCTCTTTCGTCTCTATTTATATTTTCTTTTAATTCTATTTTGTTATTTTTATTAATTATTGACTTTCTTTTAATCATTTTTTTAATTATGAGAATTAATAAGTTTAAATTAAAAGCCACCAAGAAAGTGGCAAAAAAAAAAAAAAACAAAACAAAAAAAAAATTACAAACAAATTACAATAATCATGTTTGTCTTAATTACACTAACTCTATTTGATCTATGATACCATATATATATATATATATATATATCCATTCAACTGTTTTCCTCTATAACCACAAGAGATTTTATAGTGCCTATGTGAATTAACAGATATCCAATACTTAAACACAGAAAACCTTCTAGTAGTTTAAAATAAAGAGATGTTAATTATGAAGAAAACGCAGGCATATATAACAAAATTATCCTACCATAATCTTCCACCATGACTGCGGCATGTAGAGCAGTTCTACCATTAGGGCCGCCATAGTCCACTGAAATGCAATTTCTTAAGATTTCCTCGATCACCTTTGCTCTATCATTATTCCTTTCTTCAGAGAAATAATACTCTATATTAGCAGCGATATAAAGTGGAGTTTCTCCATGAACATTGGCGGAATATGAAAACTCAGGGTCTTCTTCAGTCAATATTTTCACCACGCGGCTTTGGATAAATCGGGATGCCACATGCAACGCTGTATCTTTTTTAACATTCTTCATCCTCAACATTTTCTTTTCTTCTGTTACTTTGCTCTCTGGATCTATAGGTAGAGCTTTCGCACGGTTAATGAGGACTTTCACTACGTTGGCATGCCCATATCTTGCTGCGAAATGTAATGGGTTTTCTCCTTTTATATTGACTTGCAACAACAATGGTGGACACATTTCAAGAACTTGGACAACAAAATCAGTGGATTCTAGTTGCTTACTTTGGTTTTCTAAATAAACATGAAGAATTGTATTCTGGTTTGGAGTCATGAGCTGATTAAGACAAGTTTGATAATTCTCGAATGGATCAATGTTGCCTTTTGCTGCAGCTCTGTACAAGGCAGGATCCATCATGTACAGTCAAGAATGTACAAAAATGAAAATTTAAGAAAATGATGGATACACTATTATGGTTCAGAGGTAAGGGGTTGCATTCTACAACTGAAAAAGAAGTTTTTTTTTATAGGAAAAGTATTGCAGTAAAAGAGATAAGAAATAAGGAATTGTAAGATTCTGTGTTTAAGCAAGTTTCGCGAAACGCACACGCAAGGAATTGTTATCCACAACTTTTTGAGGAGTGGGATACTGAAAAAGCAGGGCAGATTATGAGCCAAGATTAATCAATTAGTTGCCAAAACTTACTAGCTGACCAATAATTACCTTGTTTTAATCGATAGTAACGTAATTAATGACTTTGAGCCAGTGATCAGTAACTAAGAATTGATGGATCGAGTTAATGAACATAAGCTTTAAATGTCAGCTACTCTAGTACGTACTGTCCTGAGTCCAATTCCTTAATCTTTTCAAAGTTACACGCCTTGAATATCTTTAATGACTATTTAATTTATTACTGGTTTTTGTGATTGAACTTTTTCCTAATAAATTTTTTATAGCATTTAATTGGTTGCAGCTCTTGTTCAAAAAGTTGGATAGCTGCGAATAGAAGAAACTGAAAAAAAAAAAAAAAGATCATAAGAGAGTTTTGACAAGAAGTCATCCAAAATCATGGCTACATAAAAGATTAATGCCTGAACCAAAAATTTACAATAATTTTCTTAATAATCATGCAGTATTTTCGAGTTATGAATAAAATGGAAAAATCCAAATTCAAAACCATGTAACGAGAAAAGGTATGAATGTCTTAGATAGGTTACGAAAGGTAATTTTTGAATCTTCCATTTCCATAGCAGGATCCTTTAATCACCATAAACACAATGAAGCAGCTGCTCAAACAAGCCAAACAAGTGGTTATGGCAAGCTCTAGTGAAGGCCTTAAAACTGCACAAGAGACAATCTCATAGCTTGATTCTTTTCGGATGGAATCCAATCTCTTATTTAATACAACAACTAAACACACAATTGTTTTCATAGTAAAAGTCAAGCTAATATAAAAAACGAAAGGAGGTCATGAAGTCCTTTGTAGGATTATGGAAATAAAAAAAATAATAGTAGAAAAAAGAAAATTAACCATCATCAGTCTTCTACTTTCACTTTTTTGTTGCTAGATTCTGCACTTTTAACCCTTTAGAGAAGTTCAGCCTGAAGTAAAGAATAGTTAAGTAACTTCCGCAAGAAATTAAGAATTATTTGTTGCTAGATTCTGCACTTGAAAAGGAATTGTTAAAAGGAGGTTCTGCTTCAAGTAAGGAATTGTTAAGTAAGTTCAATTTGAAGAAATTAAGAAATTTTTGTTGCTAGATTCTGAACTTTAACCTTTCAAGGAACTTCAGCTTGAAGGAATTGTTAAAAGGAAGTTCTGCCTGAAGTAAGGAATTATTAAGTTCAATTTGAAGTAATTAAGAATTTTTGGTTGCTAGATTATGCATTTTAACGTTTCAAAGAAGTTCAGCTTGAAGGAATTGTTAAAAGGAAGTTCTGCTTCAAGTAAAGAACTGTTAAATAAGTTCAGTTTAAAGTAAGGAATTGTTAATCCAAAATCATCAATAGCCCTTGTAAAAACTGGTAAACACAGACAATGCCTATGATCCAACGATCAATCATGGGCCATTGTTTGTGACTTCTTGTTTTTTTTAGTGAATTTGAGTCATTGATAAGTTCTTAAGAAAATTGCTCAATCCTGTGCCCGACGAAGCTAGTTGATGATCATTTGTTAGCATGAACTTTTTAGTTGAATTTCGGAGAAGCCCTAATCCCCGGTTATTCAAAAAAAATTAGAAAAGAAGAAAAAAATGAACGGAGAAAGGTGACAAAGGAAAACGAAATTAGAAAAGAAGCCAAAGGGAAACTAAAAGTGAAACAGTTACCAAAAAATGAAACATGGTCACTAGCTAGTTTGGATTCATCAAACCAGTGTGGTTTGTTTTCTGTTAAATCTTGTAGTAGAATCATGGATAACTTTTTGCTGCATGCTCAGAGCGAAATCTGCTCTAATGTTTGGAAGTCAATGGCACTTCCAAAGTTTGAGTCCTTCACTTGGCTTGCGACATTAGAAAGGTTAAACACAAATCATCTTTTGTATGCGCGCGGAGATATCAGTAATCTAGCAGAGTCTATCTGCTGCTTTTGCAACTCAGAAACAGAATCAGTCCAGCATCTCTTGTATATTGTCGTGATGCGTGGCAGATTTGGAGTCGTATCTTTAGGTGGTGGAGTTGTGCATGGATTGGTCCATGCTCTGTTGACAGCCTTTCCCAATAGTGGAGCTCGTTTGCAAGAGAAGGGAAGCATGGGAAGCTTTGGTATTAGTCTTTTAGTCAGTTCTCTGGTCATTATGCCTGGCTAGAAACGAACTAACTTTCAATGAAAAATCTGCAGATTGGGATTATGTTGGGCATTTGATTTCTTTACCTTGTTGCGTTTTGGGCAAAGCATGTAGATGAGCACCTAATTTTTACTTGAAATCGAAATTGGATGCATCCTCTCTAGGAAAGCCAGGGAAATCAAGAGTGGGTGGTGTTTTGAGAGATCACGAAAGGGCAGTTTATGTTTATATTTTCTTGCCCAACTGGTATAGCTGATCAAACGAGGCACAGGCTTTGGCTGTTAGGAAAGCCCTAAAGATCATATTTTCTTCTCCCCTAGCTCGGCAAGTTGGTTGGATTTTTTAGTCTGATTCCTCAACTCTTACAGGATGGCTAAAGAATGAGGAGGTAACATGCGTTGCTCAATTGCTATGCTGGTCAAAGGCTTGAATGTGGTCTCCTTAAGGAAGGGAATTCGTTTGCTGACAGCCTTGCTAGGCAGAGTAACAATAGGTTGTCTGACTTAATAGCTTGGTTTTAGTCATTTCGAATACTGATAGGCCTGTAGTTTTGTTGCTTGTTTCGAACTTCTTGTTTCTTTTCCAGTTTCTTGCTGGTCTTTGTTGTTATTCTTTGGTATGCCAAAAAAATCACCCAAGTTACTGCAAACTGAATTCTATAATTTAAATATAGTAGCTTATATAACCTCGGATAAAGGCTTTCCTTTCTCTATAACAAGCACGTCAAGGTTAGGAGGCAGAGTCTTGGCTCTAATAGCTCCGTACACTCCAGCTGCTCCACCTCCAACAACTACCAATAACTCTTCTTTACTGGACTGCATGCCCATCAAAAACAGGACAAGGAAATAATAATTAGTAAAGCAGTAGTTAGTCGTTAGTAGAAAGTAGAAACAGCATGGATGATGGGAGCAACTAAATCTGTACCTTTTGGGCTGTAGGAATGGCAGTCGCAGTAAATTTGCGTTTGTTGGGATTGAAAAGGAGATGGTAATAGCCACTGCTGCCTTGGTTAATGCTGCTACTACTACAAGCAGTTTTTGAAGATATTCCAAATTCCATGGTGCTTTTCCTATGTATTTATCAATCAATTCCTCGAGTTGCTACATACTTTTACATTATTTTTTTGATGAAGACCGTCTTCACAATGGAATGAGAAGAAATTTATACCATAATTCATCTTTGAATTTTTATTTGACAATATTATTCCTAATTTTGAATTTTCTTGATTCCCAAAAAAAAAAAAAAAAAAAAAAAAAAAAAAAAATTACTCGCTAGATTAGTGCTACTTTCCTTGTTTATTGACAACGAATGGCCGGGGTTCTTGTTGATTGACGAAACGGGAAGGGCTGATGTATATTTATAGAATTGATTCCTTGCCATCAAGTAGGCGACAATTAGGTCAAATTTTAAGAGTATAAGAGGTGAGCCTATGATGAAGAAGACAGCAAGAAATTAAAGGACGTAAGAACTGGATCATATAGCTTCCAACGTTTCTGTGGAAAACATAACGAGAAGGACACAAGCTGAGGAATTAGAGAAATTGTATGTGCAAACCCTCAACCCTCTAAAGAGACTTCAAACTCACGTTTTCATTTACCAAATTCGGTCATTTAGGATAGAACTAGAAATAACTCTTTCTTCCTTTCATTATAAATAAAGTCTTTTAAAAAAATAACGACATTGGGCCCAATTATTCAAACATGTCTGGTTCACAATGTGCATTTTATCAACTGTGCAGTTTCAGCCCAAGAACGAAACCCTAAACCTGACATGTCTCTTCAGGAGCAGGGCCTAAGTTAAAGCATCCAATGCATCTATCTATTCAAACAAAACATAAATGGATAAAATAGGTGCTATCCATCCCTTTGGTTGAGACACTGAATTCCAATGCCTCAGATTTATTGGGTTAGTAGGAATTGATTTGAACTTTGAGCTATAACTGATCGAGTTTTTCTGGTGAGTGCTTCTCTAAGAGTAATGATGCATCCGTTTGTGTTATGACAAACAATAAAAATAAAATAAATAACGGCAAAAAATAAATAAAAGATAAAGATAAATAAATTATCAATATACAAGACTTACGTGATTCGATAAATTACCTATTTCATAATTGAAAGGAAAGTTTTATTAGTTTGATAGTAGAAAAATATAAGAATTCTAGAGACTCAATATAAAATTTATATCTTTCACTAATTCATAAATGGAGACATAAAAAATTTAAATACTTCATACCTATAAAGTAAAAAACATTTATAAAATAAAAAATATAATGACCTAAATATATTATAGGTCTATAAATTTAAGTCATATATGATAATTCGTTAATATATTTCTGGAGCTTTATTTCGTCCCTATAGCTTTTATTTGAGTCTACAAATAGTTTTAATTTATTAATTATGTATTCAGTTAGTTTCATCAGTTAATAAAATAAAATTCGAGTATTGATAATTTTAGGTTCCTTTAGTAATTATGAATGGGAAGAATTAATTACTCTTATTATGTAACCTAAAAAATCCATGGTTATCTGATGCGTAAAAATTATTTTTACTTAGTGAATCGTTAGGCCAAAAAAGAGTTTGTTTTATAAGTGTTGTTTACGACGATGATCGTGAATTCTGTAACATGACAAGTGTCATCAGTTCAATTCGGTTTGAAGACTTTTCAACACATCGTAAACAACATTCTACTGCCGAGTCTTGGTGAATTGAATATTAGTCGAGAAGCACAAAACTGTATTCACAAGCGTCTTTAGAGAAGTTTGGTATAGTTATTAGCAGCTGAGAAAGGACATAATTGAGCAAGATGCGCTCATTAATGCTGGCATAAATCGGTGAATAAGATTTCTAGATTTTGTAGCTAAATTACACCATGATTTACTAAAAGGACATTGAATTTATTCAATAAAAATGGCTTCAAGTCCACTATCGTAAACTTCTAGAACTAGCAGTTTTCATTTAAATTGTTTTTGTCAGGTGAATATATCATAATGAATCAGGAAGCTGATAAAATAATAATGAAAATAATTGTTTGATTTTTAAGACCTTACAGCATTCATAAATCTTCTTCTCCAATCCTCTGTATGAACTAACATGCCTTAACGAGGATATAGTTCTGTGATTGACATATCATTAGCAGACAAAGACATCGACTTGCTAGTAGATTGGTCAGAGTCCGGCACCACTATCGGTAAGCTGGAGCCGGTCCCGCTTCGAACGAAATGTGCTGGCTTTTGAGGCAAAGGTAGCGTTATAGACAAACTAGTGAGCATGAGAACTATTGTCGTCATTGTGGGTCTATTGTTTGGGTCTTCTTGAACACACAATAACCCAATATGGATGCATCTAGTGATCTCATTTCTGGAATAAGATTCTCCTAAGCTTGCATCCATCAGTTCCAGTGGTGCCCCATTTTTCCATTGTTTCCATGCCTGCAAAAATCAGTAACTATGCTCGTAACATTCTTCTTCTTCTTCTTCTTCTTCTTCTTCTTCTTTTTTTTTTTTTGATGACATTAACAAGATTAAAATTCTCCTATTTTCACTTACATAGCTCAGAAGGTCCAGGCCATTGTCTGATTGATAGAAACTGCTGTTCTTTTTGCCGCTGATAATCTCTAGTATTAAGACACCGAAACTGTACACGTCCGACTTAATGGAGAAATGTCCTTGCATTGCGTACTCTGGAGGCATGTAACCACTAGAGCGTCCAACAACCAGCATCCAAAGCAGAAAAACAACATCAACAATTAGTGCCTTTAATTTATAATCTAATTCATTCAAATGATTTTAGTCTCTTTCAAGGATTGTGTTAAGACTTTATTTGCCCCACCGCTTAGTTCCCAACAAGGGATTTTTGTGAATTGATCCTTAATTAGGAGACAAAGAAGCCCAGCAATGGAATATTAAAGAAATCAATTTGCTAAGCACTTAAAGATAAGGATTTAATGAATAATAGCGTACAGTAACAAAATATAGAATTACGCCTTAAAAGCACTTACTATGTTCCAACGATTCTGCTGGTACTTCCTTGACTTTGATCCCCTCCAAAAATCTTTGCCATACCAAAATCTGCAATCTTGGCGTTCATTTCCTCATCCAACAAAACATTACTTGCTTTAAGATCACGGTGGATAATTCTAAGACGGGAATCTTCATGAAGATAAAGTAGGCCTCGAGCAATCCCCCTATGATTTTGTAACGAGTTGACCAATCCAACAGTCCTTGTTTTGCAGGATCTTCATGCATTTGTCAAAAAATTCAATAATCAGAATGGAGCTAAAGAAAATAAAATAAACAGCACATGCGAAGTATATGTTAAGAAAGGCCAAACCAAATAGGAAGTAGTCGAGGCTCTTGTTCGGAACATATTCATAGATTAGTATCTTCTCTTCCCCTTGCAGGCAATAGCCCAATAGCCTGACTAGATTTCTATGCTGAAGCTTGGCTACCAATACGACCTCATTCTTAAACTCTCCTGCACCCTGTCCAGAGCTTCTTGATAACCTCTTTACTGCTATCTGTTGTCCATTAGGAAGTCTTCCCTGAATTTACGAAATGATTATTTAGACCGACTTGTTTTAACGATTGAATTCAGAAAAGCATGCCAATGTTAACTTCTCACCTTGTAGACATCACCAAATCCACCCTTACCGATCTTGTTCTCTTCAGAAAAATTGTTTGTAGCAGTTTCAATGGTTCCCAAAGCAAATTGTAAAGATTGGACGGAAATGATTTCATCCCCATCCCCAACTACAGGAAATAGAAAAGTATTGTTAAAAAAAAAAAAAAAAAAACCCGGTATAGCAAATTATTTACACTAACAAAAATCAAATACTGGAAGGATTTCGCTCTACGTTTTCTATACCATTTGCCCCTTCTGTAGCGTTGTATTTCTTCCTTGCCTTTTGGTGCACATAACAGTAGCATAAGGTGAAAAATAGCACCACAAAGACACTTGTGGGAACAGTAATGTATACAATTGTTCGTGATGAGTTCTTCCTTTCTCCTGCATAAAAGAGAATCGCTTTTCAGTAATATGGTGCATGGATATGTTATCCTTGGCAAGTCTAGTGAATAATATTCATACCACTGGGATTTAACAAGGTTGCTGGTGGAGTTTGCAGAGATGGGGCAATTGCAGGAGGGGGTGGAGCTGGTGGAGCAGTGGTGAAACGGTAAATTTCATACCTCATATTGCAACTTGGTGCGAGAACATTACCACCTTGCTTTCCATTGCAGCACCTAGGAATGTCGCTGACGCAACCAGCTAAGCATATTCTGCACTGAGATGGAGATATATCTGGAGTGCACTGTACCAGACCATATAACCTGATAAATGCAGTTTCATTTCTGTCTTCCATTGCAAACAAATTACTTGAAGACGCAGCGCGTGTAACAAGCTTGTTCATCAAGTCTCCCAAACTAGCATTAAATTGATCTACATTCATAACATCTCCAATATTATTCCGATTCCACATCCATACTTTTGGACGTTCCTCTGAAACAGAGAATATAGAACGGTTAGAGTAACGTAGCATGCACATATCGTACCATATAATTGCTTCTTTGTTATTCGGGCAGCGATTCACAATCTCTTCACTGATGGCCTTGATGCAACTCTGACATACCTCAGGGGAGGTATCTCCTCTGCATAGGAAGAGGCCATAGACTTTATCAGAACTCTGACCGGCACTTGTGTTATAAAAACCATCCCTGCGTGTAGCGTTTGCGTAAAGTGAAGAGAGAGTGGCGTTGAGGTTTGATGGGAAAGAACTATTTGTAGTGTAAGTGGATGAATCCGTACAGAAATGGTATCGGTACTCAAATTGTTGGGCTGTGATAGAAGTAATGTACAAGATAACAATAAAGGAAAAAACATGCCAGATAGAAAAGGCCATCTAGTACTTAAGCATGCAAGAAATGTGAAATAGGTGGAGAATTATTGAGAAAAGGTTTCTTTATAGCAGAAAGAATGAAACACTAGTTGAAACTTGGCAACATTTAGGAGGCCTAAAAGGAAAATTTGAAGCTTGAATCCCTATGGATCGAGCAGCGAAATGGAGCCTATTTGTTGATCAGTAGGAAAACCAGATAGCCAAAGCCCAAAATGCTCTTCCTTGCCTTAAAAAATGAAGGTATTGAATCTCTCAGAAGTCAAGTTCTGTTATTTTCATGGAGTCTTTTCTTGGAAAGGGAATAGCAAATGCAGGAATAGACAATTAATAGCCTTAATTGTGGTTTGGTGTTGGGTTAGAAAGACTCAGGTTCGTGGAATATGGAATACAAGCAACATAATTATCAGAGCAGGCAATATAGGGCCAGGTCATATTTGTGGAAATAAGAAGCAAAATGCGTAATGAACACTTCAAAGGTGGAGAACGATGTCATGGCAATGTTACCATAGAGTCAAGGGAACCAATCTTGGAAATTACAGCAGTCACTCTATATCTCTCTCACAATACTCTTGAAAGCCCACATGTTCCTGTCGATGGACTTCTTCAATGCTAGTTGACCTCTTCTTGCTTCAATAACTTCCGTCAATATCAACTTCCTTCTTGTTTGGGTTTGGAAGACTTTTGAAAGTAAACGATGAAAGTTAAGTTCAACGGAATGTGGTAAACAATTAAAGGAAGACTTTTGAAAGAAACGTGGCCCAAATGAATTTATTTTTCAAAGCAATAGTCATAGGTCAGTCTTGAAAGGGATCTTGCTAATTCTCCCACTTTGAAGCTCAGTAATCCGGGTCGGGAATCCAATGAAACACTATAAGCACATACAAGAAAAAGCTCAAACCTATGAAACAATTGTTGAAGTTGGTAGCACTGCATAAGTGTCTGGAATAAATGCGATAAGCATTGTACCATGGCAGTCATGGTTAACAACGTGGCCAACGCAAATACTTTGTCACTAAAAGTGGGTAAAGACAGCAGAAATTGAGAGCACCATTGCTAGCATCTGATATACCACATGCTATATATAAAACTAGCTTTTTTTTAGTTAGAATTGCAGAGTCTTGATTAGGGTCTTGTTCGTTCTTGTAACTGCCAGGTAAGGTGAATGCTGTTGCAAATGTTACCGTTGCTATGAATGCTGCTACTACCACATGAGCTTCTCTTACTTTATCCAAGGATTCCTCCCGTTTCTTATTGTATTCCGAGCCTGCCTTTTTCTCTTCTTCCACAACAATGCTCCCAAACGGTGTCCAGGGCAAACATTTTCAATGGATTCTAAGATTTATTTATTTATTTTAGTGTAGCCTTTGTGAATGGATTTAGAGTTTGAAAAACTCAACATTGTGTGTTTTCATCAGCTCCATCTCCTGCCTAACCCACAATATAGGAGTTAAATAACTGTAATACATACTCTAAAAATAAGTTATTTTACGTGAAAAATTTAGCCTAAACTGTCAATAGCATTCGAATAGTTGGTTTACAGTAATTAACAATATTCATTTTATACTTTGTAGAGAAGTGATAGATACAAAGAGAAAAGAAAAATAAGAGAGAGATAATAAAAAGTAAAAAACAAAACTATTGTAATGTACCCAAAGGGTCCCTTGTCAACATAGTCAATAGATTTTAAGATCTCTTGGTCCAAGCGAAACATTTTGGCTAAAATATTGTAAATGATCCATCATTTTTAGCTAATTATCAAATATCATCTATCAACTTCCAAGCCTTTATTTTTGCCTCCACAATATATTAGTGTGGTTTGCAATCAAGAAAGATTTATGAGGATATATAGTGTTTTAGTGGGATCAAATGCATTCAATTAGTGGAGTCAATATCTTATATTTCTATATTTTTGACAAACAAACCTTTTTAATCAGTGGTGTCAGCTGACATCAATCCAATAACACTGGATCCGCTCTATCTGTGTTTTTGGCCTTCTTGATCTTGTTTCATTTTGTACTTAGAGACTTCTTGCCTTTGTCACTTGATTAATAAAAATTATCTCATCCTTCTCATAAAAAATAAAACTAAAATTGATTTGGTTGTAAAATTAAAAGCTATACATAAGCCAAATTATCCCAAAAAGAAACTTAATTAAAATGTGAACCTTTATTAGAACCAAAAATTGTTTGCATGATTCATAATCCTTTTTGTTTTTATGAAAATAATTATTTTACATATATGATTCTCATAATAGTTTATATATGAATTTGATTTGCAAAAGAGCGATGTACTGAAAACATATATATTATATAGGATTATGCATAATCACAACAATTAGTTATAGAGAATTGATTACCAGCTGTGCACGAGAAAATTATTTTTTTGACTATGTGATTGACGCTTAGCCTTTGCTCATTAAGACGATATATCCTACACAGAGACCTCAAAAAATTTTCCCAGTGCTCATGCTTTAGCGCTGAAGCATGGATTAGATGGATGGGTGTGTATCCGTTTACAAGTCTGTCAAGTTTTGGAATTTTCAGAGACACTTTGAATACACGTATTCTTTTACTAACCACAGCATAATAAAGAGCATTCCAACCTTGGTTATCAAATAGCTCACAACAAACCGGACAACAAGAAACAATCTCTTCCATTGCTTTCCTATTGCCTTGAATGTGAAGGGCTGTTCTTTTGTCTGTGTCAATAATGTAGGCTGCATATACTATAGAAAATAAGAATGAGTTGTAAGGCTAGTTTGTATCGCGGAGAACTCTTTAAATAAAGTTACGGGGATAGAGTTACAATTATAGTAAATAACCGAAAGCTAGAGTTACTGTTACAAGAAACTAACTTTATTTACAGAGATTGATTCTTATCTAATTTCTATGCAAATATATACACATTAAAGCTTATCCTTATCATCATCCCTTCAAGTCGAGCATTGGAAGAACGGTTAGCTTGGCAACTTGATGAAAGAATTTTCGTTTGGGTTGAAATTTTGTTATTACATTTGTTAACTCGGTCATCGGTAGAAATGTATGGGATGAGTAATTCACGTTTGCTTACTTTGTTCCGAACAAAGTGAAAATCAATCTCCAAGTGTTTGGAGCGAGCATGGAACACTAGATTAGCCATTAAATATATAGCCGAAAGGTTATCATACCGGAGGAGTGGTGATGATCGAAGAGGAAAACCAATCTCACGCAAGAGGGATTTTAGCAAAGTAGTTTTTGATGTTATTGTTGGGAGAGCCCAATACTCATCATCAATGGATGACCAAGCAACCGTTTTTTGCTTGTGCAAAGTCTAGGAGATGAGGTTACTACCAAGAAAGATAGTAAAACCAATGGTGCTCTTTTGGTCAGCCAAGTCTCCTCCCTAGTTAGCATCCGTGTAAGCTGAAAGATGAAGAGAGGATGATGGGGAAATGAAGAGTCCATGAGTTGGGATGCCCTCGAGGTAGCGAAGGATTCTTTTAACGAGCGCTCCAAGGTGCTCGGCTATAAGAGCATGCATAAACCGAGCAACATGATTGATAGCAAAGGATACATCCAGATCCGGTTAAAGTCAAATACCGTAGTCGACCAACAATACTCTTAAAAAATGTTGGATTGTCAAACACAAAGGTATTTGGAGTGGCCTAAATGGGATCGCCAGTGTGGCCACAATGGCGACATCATGCATCAAGGCTTGTTTCAAGAGATCACGGATGTATTTTGTTTGACACGGATGAAGTCCTTCCTTACTTTTAGTCACTTCTATACCAAGGAAGTAGTGGACATGACCAAGAGCCTTTAGAGGGAATTGAGTTTGAAGATCGGCGATTTTCTTCTTGATGAGATTTGAATTATTGTCGGTTAAGAGTAAGTCATTAACATAAATCAAACAATAAGCTTTATCTATAGTGTGGTCAAATATCATAAGGGATGTATTCGTTTTGGAACCCACAAAACCCAACGGATAGAGTGTGTTGGTAAGGCTAGTAAACCACATCCAATGCCATAGAGAGACCGTTTGATGGCATAAACATGGTGTGGAAATTACGAATGCACAAAGCTTGATGGTTGTTCCATGTATACTCGTGTATCTAAATGCCCATGAAGGAAGGCATTTGATATGTCCAATTATTCCACATTCCAATTGTAGTTTACTACCAAGGAAAGAATAAGTCGAATTATGCTAGGCTCCACCACGAGACCGAAGGTTTCAACATAATCAAGCCACGGGCACTAGTGGAACCCCTAGCCACCAAACATGCTTTATAATGATCTATAGCACTATTGGGCGGCCTTTTGATATGGTAAGCCCATTTACAACCAATCACATTTGGAGCTTCGAGGGCAAAGAACAAGATCCCAAGTTCCATTGGTGAGAAGGGCGTCGATTTCCTCATTCATTGCTTGCCTCCATACCGAATTCGTGCATGCCATTGTATAAGAGAATGGTTCGGTAGTTAGAAAGGAACTAAGGAAGGTCTTAGGCTTAGTGTGCCCTGTTTTGGTTCGGGTGAGCATTGGGTGAGAGGGAGGTAGGGGATAACGCTTTTAAGTTTTGGTCGGAGCGGGGTGGGCATAGTTAACGTCGAGTGATAGGAACGATCTATAGGTAGGGGTGTGGTAGTGGCATCGACGTCTTAGTGGGAGGCATGCTCAAATGTTGAAGACGAGTATAATAGAGGTAGGGGCTAATGGAAATAGGGTTAAGGAATGAGTTATGGAATTAAAATTGCTTAGGAGTCTAGGCTTGCGGTATTTAGTAGGTCGAGAGCTAGAGTGGGTTTGATTCGGGTCCAGGTTGTTTAGGGCGGATAGGTCGTTGAGCGAGTCTTGGTTGATCGATCTAGCTGGATGATATTTTGTGTTAGGGATGTCTTGTTGGATGAGTCTGGATCCGTGAGTCTGGACACGATTGTGGTGTAGCGGGTTGGACGGGGATAGGTCGTGGGTCATTTGAAAGAAAGAGAAGTGATGTGGCATGAGTTGGAACCGGTAGGGGACATGTATTGTAGTGGGGGAATTAAGAGAATGGTAGTTGAATTTGGTGAGGGTAGTGGTGTTGGGCTCTTGATAATGAAGGAAGCACCACCTTTTGGCATCTTTGAATGGAAAAGCTTGTTTATAAAAAATAACATGATTTGAGACAAATATTTTATTGGAAGCAATATCTAAGCATTTATACATTTTATGCAAGAGACTATAGCCTAGGAAAACACAACGGTTTGAATGAGGCTCCAATTTGTTTTTAGCATAGGGTCGAAGTCATGGATAGCAAAGATAACCAAACACACATAAATAACCATAATCAAGAGGTTCTTAGAAAAGAACTTTATGTGGGGATTTATGATTAAGTAACAAGGTAGGAAGATGATTAATACGAGTAGACAATGGTAGAAAATGCATGGTCCCAAAAGTGTAAAGGAATGGATGCATGGTGAAGTAATACTCGCCAATTTCGGTAATGTGTCTATGTTTTCTTTCAACACATCCATTTTGTTATGGTGTATGAGGACATGAGGTACGTTGTGCAATACCATTTTGAGCTAAGTAAGATGGTAGGCTTTGAAACTCACCCCTAATCGGCTTGAAAGGTTTTGATTGGTTTGTTGAAAAACTTTTCAACGAGAAGCCAAAATTTAATAAAGCAACTTAGGACTTCGATTTAAGTTTAAAAAAATATATCCAACTATATTTTTTATAGTGATCATAAAATACAATGTAATATTTTTGACCTTGCGAGAGATGGAATTAGAGATGGCCCCTATAAAGTAGACAAATAATTTCTAAAGGAGCAATTGCTCGAACGGTAGAAATAGAGAAGGAGAGTTTATGTGCTTTACTAATGCGAGCAAGCATGACATAACGAGTTTGCATTTTATCTAAAATTGAAATACTAGATCGACTCAACACTTTGGCTACTGTGCGTAAGGAAACATGACCTAATTGAGCATGCCATATAGTGAGATTGCATGAGTGTGCTTGAATAGGGCGATATAAGGGAGATAATTAAAGTGGCATTTTGTAAAGTCTATTGTCCGAGAGGTCCTTTGTGGAGGATTTTCTTCATACGATAATCCTTGATTAAGAAATAATTAGGAAAAAATTCTAAAGAGATATGGTTAGATCTAGTAAAAAAAGAAACGGATAATAAGTTCTAACAATAATTAGGAACTTGAAGAATATGGCTAAGATTGTAAGAGAGATTTTTTAGATTAATAGAAAAAGAAGCTGATATGAGAAATAGGAAGGGTTTTATCATTGTTTATTGTGACTTCTTCGGGGCCCAAGTATTCGGAATGAATGGCTAAGTTATCAAGGTCGGTTGTGAGGTGATGTTTGGCTCCACTATCAAGGATCCATTTTGGACTAGTTTGAGTGGAGGTGAGATGAGATGTGGGAGTAGGGAGGAGTGGTGGATGAGTGTCATTGGAGTACTTTAGAGATAAGCAAGTAGAGCCGAGGTGCCCGATGCCACGATAGTTAAAGCATGTTGGTGCTATGGGGGCATGTGAAACTATAGGGTGCCATGGTTACCGTAGGCAATGGGAGAAGGAGTGGTTGGAGGATCGACCATATCCCCTTTAACGACCTCTTCCACGAAAGGTGGATTGCTCGCCTTTGAACATAGTTAGTGGTAGGTAAGATTTCGGATGAAAAGAGATCATTCTTTCTTTTCGGTTGTATTTCTTCATCGAGGAGTAGACCAAATAGGTCATTAAAGCCGATTGATTGAAGGCAAGCTTTGATATTTTGAGTGAATGGCCTATAGGCGGATCCTCGACCATTAAGATGACATCAACAAGATCATCTTTCGAAAGGGAATATTGTAGGGCAACAAGTTGATTAGAGACGTGTTTAGCACGCTACATATAAATGGTGATGTCTTCATTCTTATGATCCGGTTGGTGAAGTTGAGATTTCAATTGGCGAATATGAGATCGAGATCTCGATGCATAGGTAGTAGTCAATTTTTGCTAAGCTTTACGAGCGAGCTTTGGCACCAACTTCTTGGGAGATGACCCCTTCGAGAGAGAGAGAGGTGATTATCTAACTAAGGACTAGTTGATCTTTGACAAACCAATCGAGATAAGTGAGGTTAGGAGCCCTATTAATTTAGGTAGGTGGTGGAGATTCGAGCCATCAACATGATTCATAAACCCTATAGCTTTGAAGGATGGGTGTGATTTGGGTGAGCCATAGGAGGTAGTTTGTAGAGTTGAGTTTGAGGAGTAACTAATATTGAACATGAGGAAGAGTAGTAATTAGGGTGATGGAAGGAGTAGGTGTGCCGGTGGGGAGATCCAGTGGATTTGGAAGAAGATGAAGATGTCATAATTTGGTAGGATAGAAATGGGTTGATAAGGTTAAGAAAAAAGAATGCACGATATATAGGGGTTGTCATGCTTTTGGTGAATTTGGAGTAGGTGTTGTCACAAATTTATTGTTTTATGATGTTGAGTTACGTGGCGATAAAGTGAAAAAAGAGAAGGGTACACGGTTTATATGGTTTAGGCGAGAAAAGGGAAAAGGAATGTGTTTCTTTGGCTATAGTGAAGGCTGCTTGTAATGCAACGAGTATAGGAAAGAAATAAGAAAGAAGAAAAAAAACGAGAGAGAAGGACGTGCTTATTTGACTATTAGGCCTAGGGTAGCTCTAATACCATGTAGAAAATAAGAATGAGTTGCAAGGCTAACACACACTCGGTTTGTATTGCAAAGAACTCTTTAAATAGAGTTACAAGGATAGAGTTACAATTATAGTAAATAAGCGAAAGTCTGGAGTTACCGTTATAAAGACTAACTCTATTTGCGGACATTGATTCTTATCTAACTTCTATGTAGATAAATACACGTTAAAGCTTATCTTTATCGGATACATCATATTCTAGCGATAATTTTGTTGTTGAATTGATATTCCAATAAGAGAAATAAGCAGCGTAGTGAAGTGGTGACCATCCATTCTCATCGATTGTTTTTGTTAAATTTTTTTCTTTTTCTAATATTTTTCTTGCTATCCCTAAAATTAATTGTCATAGCCTAAATTTTGAGTTATATATTTTTCTCTATTTTTATCCCTTTTAGTTTTTTTTTATCCATCTATTTGTTAATACTTACTACAAAAACAAAAAAGAAAAAAATTTAGAAACACAAGATTAAAATATACATTTAATTAGAGGCATAATCTCATTAAATCAGTTTGAAATTGAAAGCTAATAGGAATTATATTGAAAGAAAAATTAGGATGAATTAAGGGCATAATTAAAAAAAATAGATCATACGATTGAAATTTTTTTTGGAAGTTGAGGGACTTAATTGGCAAATTGTCAAAAATTAAAAAATGAACCTCCCATCAGTTGCGGGTCCATGTTTACTTCTACATAGGCTCGGGCCCCCCTCCATTTTTTTTTCCAATGCTGCAATCTTTGCAAAATATGTTTTATTTAACTAAACCTTTATAGCATATATTGTTAACTCATAAAGATTTTTTTATGAATAAACTTATTCATGGACTCGACGTTGCTCTATTTTCTTTAGAAAATTTACCAGATTTTGGGCCATGAAAAATTTTGACATAATAAAAATAAGCCCAGGTCTCTGAACAACTCTTTCACTTCATAAAAAGGATGGTGGAAAAACTTGTTTGGGCTTGGCCTATACACGGCCAGCCCAATTTCATGCTTGCCTCTCACCCAAATTATGAAAGAATTTTATTGAAATTTTAAATGACCTTTCTTGAGGTTGAATTGTTATTATTATTTTCTTTAATCAAATGTTAAGCATTAACCTTTTTATTTTTTATTTTTTCATCTCTAAATTTTTTTAGTAATACGAGAACTGACAATCTTTCAATTATTTTCGATGAGTATAGATTAGTTTTAAAATTGAGGATTTCAAGCCTTCACATTCTTAGAATTAGAAAAAAAAAAAAAGGATAAAAAGTAAGATTTGAATCTTTAATCTTTTTGTTAAAAGTCTAAAACTCTTATCACGAGCCACTATTTATTGTTGTTCATCTCCTAAAATATGCTAATATATATATATCCCTTTAACATTTAAACTCCTCTAGTAACCTCGTACAATTTTTCTATCAAATACAAAATCAACTCCTTCAAGATTCGTTCACAGGGAAGGAAAAAAAAAAAAAAAAACCAAAACAGTCCTCTGAGATTAGGTGGCTTGGCTTAATGCTTAGACCTCATCTTACCCATAAGTGCTTACTAATCAAGTTTGCATAAATCATGATAAATTTCTAAACATTTATTTTGACCTTTATGAATATTTGATCCCACATCCGCCATTACTTCCCGTAATATTATAATGTATTATAATGATATTCACTGTGATTTTTATAATTAATTCATTAGGTGATCATTTCAAATCAAGCACGTTTTTTATAATTTTTTTTTTTTTGGTAATTTCAAATCAGGGATGGATTTAATTTCTATAACTATAGAGACAAAGGCATTGAAATACAACATAATGCATGCACACTAGAAAGACCCGTAGATGAATTATAAATGTTCCTACTTTGTACGTACTATTACAGGTTGCCCGCAAATTGTATAAAGTCCTTTTCGTTATTATTTTTTCAGCCAACGTTCATAAATTTCAAGTCAGAGTTCAAAACATTTTTAGTGTCACTTTCATGATAATAAATGCCTTTGCTTATAAGCTCTTCTATTTCTATCAATTTCATATAATTTCTCTAAAGATTCTCCTCTTCATATCCTTCACATCTAATTCCTTTCTTATATTTCTTCTTTCATAAGAAAAATTGACAGTTATTAATTATAAAGTCGGATAGCTGAGAAAATTGAAAATAATATCATACCAGAGTTAGACAAATCATCCAAAATCAATTTCTGAATACTGCTACATATTACATGCGAACAAAAAATGTAACATGAAATTATATAGGAAGTTTGGTCACTAAAGTCTTTACCTCCTTCTATTTCTATTTCTAATCACTATGCAAGTAATGAAGAAGAAGCTCAAACCAATAAAAATAGTGGTTATGGAAAGCCCTAAGCTAGGTGCTAGTACTGCATAAGTACCTGTGACAAATGCGATCACCATTGTAAACATGGAAAACTGGGTAAGAAGCGATGCCGCATCAAAAAATTCATGGACATTTGGTCTAAATGGTGACATAAAAAAGTGGATAAAGACAGCTGAAAGGGAAAGAACCATTGACATGGCATCAGATATAACAAAAGCAACGAAAGCTGCTTTTTTTATTAGAATTGCAGTACCCTGATTAGGACCTTGCTCGTTCTTGTAACCGCCGGGCAGGGTAAATGCTGCGGCAAATGTTACTGTTGCTATCAGTACTGCTGTTACTAGATGACCCTCTTTTGCCTTCTGAATTTCAGAGATGTCCTTAATTTTGTTTACAACTATGCGCCCACGTGGTCCATTACCAAAATCTGCCAACGATTCTAATATCTCCTTCTGCAACAAGTTTTGGCTAAAATATTAGATAACTAAGCTTTACAAGTTTTGGTATAACAATGTTACTTAGATAACTTAGGTCTGAATTACAATAATCATAAAAATTATATCGATCATATTAATTCTATTATATAAACGGATAGCATAGAGAAAGGAGTTAATTTGCTACATATGTGTGATTTCAATGCATTACCTTAACAATTAATTAGTTGAGGAGATTACCTTTTTTTGGGGAAAATTTCCTTCTAAAATGTCATCAACGCTCAGGCCTTGCTTGTTAACACCACACATCTTGCTTTTACTAGTTTGGACTTCATATGGGAGAAGAAGCCAGCAAATTTTGCCGAAAGCAGCCAATAGGTGAAGGGGCGTGTTTCCTTCGTCATCCTTCTCATATATAAGTTGGCTAAGTTTAGAAATTTTTACTGCCTTTCCAAATACTTCACTTCTTCTTGTACTAGCTACAGCATAGTGAAGAGCATTCCAACCTCTATTGTCAACTAGTTCACAACAAGTTGGACAGGCTGAAACAATCTTTTCCATCGCTTTTGCATTTCCTTGAATGGCAGCTATATGAAGAGCTGTTCTCTTCCTGTCTGTGTCAACAATATAAGCTGCAGTTACATCACATTTTAGTAATAGTTGCACTATCAAAGTACTATTCCAATAAGAGAAATAGGCTGCGTAGTGAAGCGAGGACCAGCCACTTTCATCGGTTGTTTGGGTCAAACTCTGCTCTTCTTTTAATAATTTTTTTACGGTGACTGTAACAAACAAATAAAAATAAATTAATATCAACAAGAAATATTGTATGAATAAAAAATATGATTAATGCATAATTAACACAGCTAATTTGTTTGATACAAACCTAACTTAATTTTGGCCTCATCTTTGTTAGAAGGCTCATCATAAATTGTTACAACTATTACATATTAAATTTTTGGTTTCATATATATATATATATATGAAAGTCTTAATGATTAAATAGACAAATGTAAATCTTACCATCTCATTCTTCTCATCAAGTAAAATTAAAAAATTTAATACAAAGTAATAGCGAGTCTATACAAGTTTTAAGATTAAATGATTTCTACTAAGGAGATGTGTTACAGTATAAAACCATTATTGAACCTGTCTCAACAGCTCACACTTAAATTTCAATTTACCCTGGTCAGGTTTGAAAAAAATCTAGTTTGTTACCTTGAGGTTTTGATTGTTTCAATATCCCCCTCCAAGTTTCTATATTGAATAAATTAACAAAATTTTGTTTTTCACTCCCTCAACTCTTAAAATTTGATTATATAGAACATTTGTAAATAATTTGATGATATAAAATCTTCTAGTTTCAATAAGGTCTAAATGATTCTATGTAGATCATTTTTATTTAAAAATATAAATATAAGATTATAAAAATAATAGAAAACATATCAAACTAAAAATCATATGCAAAGATGAAGTTTAAACTATGAAAATCATTAGAAATAAATTAGTAATTATTCTATTTTTCTATTTGGATGAGTCAAGGACTCATCATGTCCTCTTTTGTAGTCTTTCTAATTTATTTATTTTTTTCAATATATATTTTTTTTCTTTGTTTTCAATATAAACCATACTGTTAAATATAAATGATACACGTGTTATTATTTGAACTATTAACAAATTTCAATTTGCTCTCATCAAATTATTTTGAGAGGGTTCTATTTGATCGAATTTAAAAAGTTTAGAGGCTGGGAAAATTTTTTTCTCTTACTTTGAGTAACTTAAAGGGGGACATTAATAGGTGATTAAAGAACAGACATTGAAACAGTCGAAATCTTAAGAAGAGAAACTGAATCTCAAACCCGAGGGGTGTCAATATTGTTTCATTGGTTTCGTTCTCTTTTAAAAATATCTAGAATCAGTTTTTGTCCTTTATGGATTAGAGTTCTCCCTTAATAATGAATGAATACAGCATAGCACAAAATCTTACCATGATCACCATTCAGGACTGCGGCATGTAGTGCTGTTCTACCGTTGGGGCCACCATGGTCCACTAACTTGCAATTCCTTAAGATTGTATTGATCACCATTCTCCTGGCTCTGACTTTAGTACCCCCAAAAATTTTCATATTTGTAACGAGATAGAGTGGAGTTTCTCCATAATGATTAGCGGAATATGAAAATTTAGAGTCCTCTTTAGTCAATATCTCCACCACACGGCTCCGGAGATTTTGAGCTGCCACATGCAACGCTGTATCTTTCTCTGCATTAGTCATCCTCAACATTTTCTTTGCTTCTGAAAGCCCGCTTTCTAGATCAAAAGGTCGAGCCTTTGCACGATCAATGAGGACTGCCGCTACCTTGGGAAGGTCATATCTTGCCGCAAAATGTAATGGGATTTCTCCTTTCAAGTTGGGTTGCAACAGAAGGGGTGGACACATTTCAAGAATCCGATCCACAAAATCAGTGGATTCCGGTTCTCTACTTTGGTTTTCCAAGTAGACGTGAAGAATTGTGTTTTTGTTTGGAGTCAATAGCTGATTAAGAGAAGTTTGATAACTCTCAAATGGGTCAATCTTGCCTTGTACAGCAGCTTTGTACAAGGCAGGATCCATGTAGGAGATGCTTTGCTCAGGCAAATCCATCTTGCAAAGCTGAGACGTACGAAATCCAAAACTGAAATGTAATCAAATAATGAAGGGCAGGAAAAACTATTATGGCACGAAGGTAAGAGGCTGCAGCACTCTATAAATGAACAAGCAGCTATTTTTTATTTAGTCAATTATGCTTATCTTTTTATTTAACTCTATTGCTGTTTTTTAATTAAATTGTTGGGTTCTATTTCCTTTAATCATATTATTAACAAGGGGAATTTAGTAGCTGATTTTTTAGTTACAGATAGCCCAGGAGTAGTCTCCAAATGCTTCCTTTTTATTAGTCAACTAACTTAATTTGATCAATATGACTAATGGAGTTAATGAAAAAGTATTTTGCATCGATATCTAATAATATAAAGTTTGTTATTTACTATTTCTGAGTAGACGGATTACAATGAATTTTTTGAAATAGTATAGAAATATAAAATGTATTTAATCCATTTTAAATTGCTTTTCTGTCAGCCACTGACGGTAAAAGCTCTCTTGAATAAAATTCAATGGCCATGGGAATTTATTCAGCAACTCCGACAGTATCAAATGCTTTAGACAGGTAACTTTATTTCTCATGGCGAGAACAGAATGCAGTGGCTGATAGATTAGCTAATTTAGCATATAACCATGTAGGTTGTAGAATTTTTTTATAATTTCCAAGAATTACCACTAGAGATTATTAGTACTCTGTAGACATGAGTGCACGGGTCTTGATATATATATAATTACCATAGGTAATGTGATGTATGGTCTTATTTCGGAATTAGGTTTCCTTGTCTCTCTAATTTAGGGTTAGGCTAGATTGTCTTTCTTTGTATTACTCTTTTTTAATTTAATAAAATTTGTCAGCATATCGCTTTTGTTTTTTTTTTTTTTTAATTAATTGTAAAATTAGGATTCTTTGAACCGTTAAGGACCTGTTTATGAAAATAATGAAAAAAAAAATTGGAAAGAAACATCTTCTCTCATTTTATTAAAGGATGGGTAGGCACATATATATGTATATTTATGCTAACAAACTAATTATCTAACTTTACAAAGAATAAAAAAAATAGAATGAACATAGAAATGAAAACAGAATGGGGGAGGGGGAAATTTTCTTCTACTTCACAGACTACTGTAAGAGAGAATCTTCTAGGAACTTCTTCCAATAGCCCCCTTTAAGCTATATCATACATATCTTGGATGCAAAGCTTAAAAAGGAGAGAATGAAAGGCATAACCATGAAGGGACATGGTGAAGCAATTTGCTAGTTGGTTAGCAGATGATACAGGCAAAAGTGTAACAGTTCCTGCTTGTAATTTTTGACTCACAACAAGACAGTCAATGTCAATGTGTTTTGTTCGTTCACGAAACACATGATTTTTAGCTATGTGTATTGCTGAAAGATTGTCACAGAAAAGCAGAGCTGCTTGGGAGTGAGTTAAATGTAAGTCTGCCAATAGGTAAAAAAGCCATTAAATCTCACATGTGGCAACTACAAGGGCCTTGTATTCAGCTTCTAATGAGGAATGAGAGATTGTGGTCTCTTTCCTGGGTTTCCAAGAGATTAGAGCATTACCAAGGAAGATACAAAAGCCACTCACTGATTTTCTAGTTGTAGGGCAAATAGCCCAATCAAAATGAGAGAATCCTTGTAGTTGGACAATGGAATCAGAAGGGAAGAACAATCCTTATCCAGGAGCAGCCTTGATGTACCTTAGAATTCGATGTGTAGCATTCAAATGAGATTGAGTGGGATGATCAAGAAACTGAGAGAGTTGTTGAATAGTGAAAGAGATGTCAGGTCTGGTGGTGTTGAGGTATAAAAGTCTACCAATCAACCTTCTGTGGACGTAATGTCTTCTAGAGGATTATCACCATCTTTTGTCAATGGTGTTTTTGGGGTGCATAGGTGTTTTGGTAGGTAAGGAAACCAATGTCATTAAGCAACTCAAGAGGATATTTTCGCTGGCGTAGATCAGGGGCGGACCCAAGCAGAACCCTACAGGGACCGTGCCCCCCCCCCCCCCCACATCAAACGTTTTTTTTTCTCATGAAACATACCATGCCATGCTACATTCTTTTATCATCTTTTTTATTTTATCACAATTCTACTTCCAATATAACATCATCCTAATTCATGTTTTAATTGATTTTTTTTTAGAATGCTTTAATTGGAATTTTAATTAACTCTGCTAATAAATAAGTATATTTTTACACAAAATAATTATTTTGAAGGCTTAAATAAATGTAAAAATATACTTATTTCTGTAGAAAATGTTCTCTATACACAGAAAAATTCACCTAAGTTCATAGAATATCCTTACACCTCAATGATTTTTCCATATCCATTAGATAATTTTCAAACATATTTAAAATACTCAAAATAATTAATTTGCATAAAAATACTATTCATGTATCGAAAATATTCACTAAACATAAAAAAATTCACCCAATGGTACAGAATAATCTAACACTCCTCAAGCAAATATTCTACGCAAATAGAACATTTTTCATACACATTTAAAATACTCAAAATATTTATTTTGCATAAAAGGTTACTATTCATGCATTAAAAAACATAGAAAATATTCACTTAGCACAAAAAAATTATCCTAAAGAGATGCGCATATCATAGGATTGATATCATTTGTAAGTTGATAAAGAAATTTTATCCTTAAGATCTTGTCGATCATGAAATACTGCAATTAAAGATGCAATTTGAACATTTTGATCATGTACGAAATCTTTTTGATTTCAAAACATTGTCGACTATATTTGATTTTGTGTCCATGGTTGATGAAGATAAAAAAATTTGAAAGCTATCCACTTGTATATAGAGTGATAACACTTATTCTTATTGTTCGGTTTTTACGGCTACCACGCAGCGGTCATTTTTAGCTATGAGCATAGTCAAGACTAAATTTCGTAACAAAATTTGTAACAAAATGAAAGATTAATTTCTTTTCGATTCTTTGTTAGTATATATTGAAAAAGAAATTGTTGAAAATTTTAGTATAGGTTTACTTATAAATGATTTTCGTGATCCGAAAGAATAAAGATTTCTATTTTGAATGATTGTATTTTGAGACTATTTTAAAATATATACTTGTTATATTATTTATAATATTTATAAGTTTGTGTAATCCATTATAAATTTATAAATATTTATTTTGGCTCCTATAAACATTTGGTCATGTGTCCGTCACTAGCATAGATTGATGCTCGATTCTATTCTAGCTACTTCCGGACCAAGAAAAAGGTGTAGATTTCCCATATCCTTTATTTTAAAAGTAGTGTTGAGAAACATTTTTAGCTAATCAATGCAATCCATTACTTTCACTTGCAAGTATCATGTTATCGACATATACTAGAGTTCTAATGAATCCGAAGCGAGTTGATTTGGTAAAGAAAGAGTGATCCGACGAGTGCTTGTTTGAAGCCTTGTCTGTAGTAAAGCTTTTGAGCATTTGGAAAACCACTTGCCTACTTGCTTGTTTTAGACTATAGATAGACTTGAGAAGCTTGCATACCTGGTTGGGTTTAGAAGAAGAGAATCTTAGAGGAAGCTCCATATACACCTCTTCATGTAGATCTCCATGAAGAAAGGCATTGCTGACATCTAGCTGCTATACAAACCAGTTCTTCATACTAGCTATGGCAAGAAGGGTTCTAATAGTGGTCATTTTGGCAATAGGAGAAAAAGTTTTCAAGTAGTCAATCCCATTTTGTTGAGTGTATCCCTTAGCCACAAGCCTAGCTTTATGTCTTTCGATGGAGCCATCAGCTTTATGTTTTATTTTGTACACCCATTTGTAACCAATTAGGTAAATCAATGATTTTCCAAGTTTTTTTATCTTTTAAAACAGTTATCTTAGCCTGCATAGCATCCCTCCAACAGAAATGTTTAATTGCTTATTTATAGGTAGTGGATGCAAAGTGAGTGCTGATGTTAATTGCAAAAACTCTGTATGACAGAGAGACATTGGTGTAGGATAAAACAGAATCTAGAGAGTGAGGTGAAGAAAGTTTACCTAATGACAACGACTCCAAACCTGATGTAGGGGATGGATTGGATTGAGACAGTTGGTGTTTGCAAGGCTGCAATGGTAGTCTTGAACGTAGGATGGGGCAGTATGAGGTCTAGTGGATCTTCGAAGAGGAGCAGCAGACATTGAATCAGAAGTATGAGATTGTGGAGTTGGAGAAGATGTATCAGATGGAAAGAAATGATCAAAGTTAATAGGATAATAGGATCACAAGAAAGAGAAGTCAGGTCTGGTGAACTTGAGGGATAACTGAGAGTGGGATCCTGATAAGAAAATGAAGAAAAATAAAAAGGAAAGATGGTTTCATGAAAGAATACATTTCTGGAAGCAAAAATTTGTCTACTGTGAAGAGCTGAGATCTTCTGGTCTGTGGCAACAATATAGGTTGAAGACACATCATACTATAGTAATAGTTTCGTAATTAAATGTCTATTTAAATAGGCAGCGTAAAGAAGCAGTGACCACCCATTCTCATCAACTGCTTTCGCCAACGTTTGTTCTTTTTTTTTTTTTTTTTAAATACTTTCTTCGTTGTCTCTTAAATAAACAAACAAAATATAATGAATATATAGGGTTGGCAGTGGGCCGGGCACAAAATGGGTATCCTATCCAGCCCACCTGTTAATTATCTTTTTAAAATATCATAATGGGTAATGGGTTAAACAAGAATAAAATAGTATTATCCATTTATATTAATGGATAATTTATTCATGAACATGGGTACTCTTTTTTTACCCTACTAATACTCATATTTTACCTATTAACATAAAAAATATTAAAATATAAAATTTTAAAATAAACAAAGGAAAGGGGAAAAAAAATACATTCCTTTGTTTTTGGTTGTCAAAATTTTTCAAAAATCATTTTTAATAGCTGCTATGTCAGTTTTGATTTTTTTTCAAACAAAAATTTAAAATAAACAAATTTTTTCATTTTTTGTTTTAAAAAATTTGAAAAAAAAAACCACAAATAATCCAAAACAATCCTTTTTTTTTTTTTGTACAATTATATATACAAAGGAGTAATTTATACATACAATATTTGTATTGTAGTCTGCTTGGCCTAGTGCTTATGGATATTAATTTAATTATTGTAATTATTATTATAATGGTGTTGTTAATTAATGGTTTCCATTTTTCTAATTGAATAATAATTTTGGTGCAGATGAAGAGAGTGATGAAGATCTTTTCACGGTTCCAGATGTAGAAGCTCTACCACCAGCACAGTCTGTTGCCACTGCTGCTACAGTGGTGAATAATAACGCTACTACTTACAATAATAAGAATACTAATTATAATAATAATCCAGAGGTTCAATCCACAGCAGCAACAGGGAAATAAAAAATATAATATATATATATATAACCAATTTTCCTTCCTTATCCTTCATTTTAAACTGATTTATAGAAAATAAAAAAATATAATAATTATTCAACTTAGTACATATTTATTTATGATAATAAAAATAATAATTTTTATTTTGTAATCTAATAAAAATTTTAATATATAAAAAGATTTTAGATAAAAAGAGTTTGTAACAAAAAAAAAATAGGAAAAAAAATTGAAAAAAAAACTTCAATTTAAAGAAAAAAAATTACGGGTAAATAGGTATGGACAGAGTATGGGCAGGTATGATATAACGAATATAAATTGAGTAAAGAAATAGATAAATGGTTTTTAGTGGATAATGAGTAGGATAATGGTATAATATTTTTTAGTTAACCGGGTAAGGAATTGGCTTAATGGGCTGGGTACCCAGCCCATTGCCATCCCTATGAATATATATCAAATAACTGTGTCAATGTCGGTCATTGGTAGTCTTTTACGGGTTAATTAGAGTTCTCCCATAATAAATAAAAAAAGCTGCGCACCCATGCACAAAATCTTACCCTGATAATTATGCATGACTGCGGCATGTAGTGCTGTTCTACCGTTGGGGCCACTATAGTCCATTAACTTGCACTTCTTTAAGATGATATCGATCACCTCTTCTCTATATGTTAATTTTGTTCCATGAAACCATGAAAGAATTTTTGTTCCAGGAAACCCGGAAAGACTACTCTTATTGGTAACGAGACAAAGTGGAGTTTCTCCATAAGTATTGGCGGAATATAAAAATTCAGGTCCGCTTCAGTCAATATAATCACAACACTGCTATGGAAATTTTGAGCTGCCACATGCAACGCTGTATCTTTCTCTTCATTAGTCATCCTCAACATCTTCTTTGCTTTTGTAAGCCCGATTTCTAGATCAAAAGGTAGAGCTTTTGCACGATCAATGAGGACTCCCGCTACCTTGGGAAGGTCATAACTTGCCGCAAAATGTAATGGGATTTCACCTTTCATGTTGCGTTGCAATAGAAGAGGTGGACACATTTCAAGAATTCGATCCACAAAATCTGTGGATTCCGGTTCTGTACGTTGGTTTTCCAAATAGACGTGAAGAATTATGTTTTTGTTTGGAGTCAATAGCTGATTAAGAGAAGTTTGATAAAATTTATATGGATCAATCTTGCTTTGTACTGCAGCTTTGTATAAGGCAGGATCCACGCTTTGCTCAGGCAAATCCATCTTGCAAAACTGAGAGTACCGAACGCCAAAAAAAAAAAAAAAAATGTAAATGTAATCAAATAATGAAGAGGAAAATCTGTTATGGCACCAACCTAAGAGGTTGCTCTACAAATGAACACACAGCTAGCTTTATAGTAATGGCTTTATGTACGTTTAAAAGATATCCAATTACAAGTTTTTTATTAAATAAATCGTGGCTTCAATGTGAAAATATTCTTTTGCTGCCCAACAGCAGTCTGGAACAAGCTAATACAAAAGAGAAAGTAGGTCTTGTAGTCCTCTCTCGGATTCTTGAAATAAAAAATAATTGGCGTAAAAAGAAAATTAACCATCATCAGTGTTCTACTTTCACTTTAATTTTTAGTTTCTAGATTCTGACCTCTTTAACCTTTTATGGTATTTCAGCCTGAAGGTAAGAATTGTTAGATAACTTCAACTTGATGAAATTATTATTACTTTTTGTTGCGCTTTAACCTCTTAAGAAAGTTCAGATTGAAGGAATTGTTAAAAGGCGGTTCTGCTTCAGGCAAAGAATTATTAAATAAGTTCAGCTTAAAGCAAGGAATTGTTAATTCAAAGTCACTAATAGCTTTTTCGTTACCCGACATCGGATGAGACTTCTGAAAAAATCTGTTTTATTAATTTGTAGAATTTATTTGCAGCATTATTTACAAGTTTGGAGTTGACACCTAGTATTAAAGAAACTAGGAACCTAAAATCGACACTCGGTTCGGAGATTTTATGATAATGAGTTGGTTACGCTTTTAAGAAGATATTTAATCACCCAAAAAATCCTTTTCGTAAAAAGGTATCATATCTAATTTAGTCCTAAATTCATCTCCTAAAGTGTTTTATTTGTGCCAAATTATTTTTTGATTTAAACTCCATTGTTTAAAGCTAAATTAGGTTTTTTATTTTTAGGCGTGGCATCGTATTGAAACGATCGTCGAACCCCTTTGTCGGGAGACACGTTGGTTTAAACATCGGATTCACTTTTCGAGTTTCAACACAAGCTGGTGTGTCGAAGAACATCCCGATTGTTTGAATGTTAATGATATATGTTTTTTTTAAAAAAAAATAATAATAACAATAGTTTCTATCAAATATGAGACTTTATTAAAAATTTTATTTTTTTTCATTTTTCTCTTTATTATTATTATTATTATTATTATTTTGTTAACAATAGTCCCTATTAGATAGGAGATTTTGTTAGGAATTTTAATTAATATATTTTATCGGTGAAAAATCGTCATCAATCTCTAAGATTTGGGAGATTCGATAATTTATCTGTCTATTAACATTAAAATAATTTTTAAAACAAAATTCTAAAATTAAAATTAACTAATAACCTTCTATTTCTTTGTTTATCATTTCCTCTCTTTTTTTTATTGGTGGAAAAACAGTAAATAATCCCTAAAAAAATAAGAGACTAGACAATTATCCACCTATTGATTATTTAAATCTAATTACTGAAATAAAAATCCACAATCACTTTAATTGAATAAAATAAAATTCAAAAATTCAAAAATTGAAATAGAAATTAAACATAAAAAAAAATACATAAAATAAATTCAAGATTAAATAAAATAAAACTAAGATTTTTTTTGTCCCTCTAATATATAATTACTATAGGTAATGTGATGTATGGTCGTATTTCGGAATTAGGTTTCTTTGTCCCTCTAATATGGGGTTAGGCTAGATTGTCTTTCTTTCTATTACTCTTTTTTAATTTAATAAAATTTATCAGAATATCGCTCTTATTTTTTAAAATTAATTGTAAAATTAGGATTCTTTGAACTGTTAAGGATCTGTTTATGAAAATAATAAAAAAAACATCTTCTCTCATTTTAATAAACGATGGGTAGGAATGTATATATATGTGTGTGCGTACGCGTGCCTATGAGCAAACAAACTAATTCTCTAACTGTACAAAGAATAAAAAAATAGAATGGGGGAGGGGGAATTTTCCTCTACTTCACAAACTATTGCAAGAGAGAATCTTCCAGGAGCATCTTCCAATAGCCCCCCTCAAGCTCTATCATATAGATCTTGGATGCAAAGCTTGGAAAGGAGAGAATGAAAGGCAGAACCATGAAGGGACATGGTGAAGCAATTTGCCAGTTGGTTAGCAGATGATACAGGTAGAAGTTTAACAATTCCTACTTGTAATTTTTTATGCACAACAGGGCAGTCGATGTCAATGTGTTTCTTTCGTTCATGAAACACATGATTTTCACCTATGTATATGGCTAAAAGATTGTCACAAAAAAGCAGAGTTGCTTGGGAGTGAGTTAAATGTAAGTCTAACAATAGTTAAAAAAGCCAAATAGCTGATTAAGAGAAGTTTCACAACTCTCAAATGGATCAATCTTGCCTTGTACTGCAGCTATGTACAAGGCAGGGTCCATGCTTTGCTCAGGCAAATCCATCTTGCAAAACCGAGAGGACCGAACTCCAAAAAAAAAATGAAACGTAATCAAATAATGAAGAGGAGGAAAATCTATTATGGCACGAACTTAAGAGGTTGCACTCTACAAGTGAACACACAGCTAGCTTTATAGTAATAGCTTTATCTACGTTTAAAAGATATCCAATTACAAGTTTTTTATTAAATAAATCGTGGCTTCAATGTAAAATGATTCTTTTGTTGCCCAACAGCGGGCAGTCTGGAACAAGCTAATATAAAAGAGAAAGTAGGTGATGTAGTCCTTTCCAGGATTATGGAAATAAAAAATAATAGGCGTAAAATGAAAACTAACCATCACCAGAGTTCTGCTTTCACTTTTTTTGTCTCTAGATTCTGCATTCTTTAACCTTTTAGGGAATTTCAGCCTGAAGTAAAGAATTGTTAGATAACTTCAGCTTGATGAAATTATTATTAATTTTTGTTGCTAGATTCTGAACTTTAACCTTTCAAGGAAGCTCAGCTTGAGGGAACTGTTAAAAGAAGGCTCTGTTTCAAGTAAGGAATTGTTAAGCAAGTTCAGTTTGAAGTAATTACGAATTTTTTGTTGCTAGATTCTGCGCTTTACCCTCTTAAGAAAGTTCAGCTTGAAGGGATTGTTAGAAGGGGTTCTGCTTCAAGCAAAGAATTATTAAATAAGTTCAGCTTAAAGTAAGGAATTGTTAATTCAAAGTCACTGATAGCCCTTGTAAGAGCTGGTATAATCAGACAATGCCTATGATCCAATGATCAATCATGGGCCATTGTTCATGACTTGTTTTTTTTTTTTTCAGTGAATTTGAGCCATTGATAAGTTCGTAAGAAAATTGCTCAATCTAGTGCCGGATAAAGCTACTTGTGATCAGTTGTTAGCATGTTCTGAAAATAATAATAATAATAATAATAATAAATGAAAGAAGAAAAAATGAAAAAGTGACAAGTGAAAACGAAATTAGAAAAGAAGCCAAAAGGAAAGTAAAATTGAAACAGTAATAATAATTAAAAAAAAAAACATCGTGATTTCATTGCATAAAATAATGTAAAGTATGGATAGTTTGTGCAGTGACATAAGTGACAAGCTAGTTTGGATTCATGAAACCAGTGGCGTGCTGGGTTTGCCAAAGTAAGTAATTTGCAGGAGATTGTTTGATGGAAAGCTGATTCTATCAGATGACTCAGACTATATTGACGCTGAAAACCTGGAGGACTTCTTCAATGCTAGTTGACCTCTTCTTGCTTCAACAACTTCCATCAAAATCAACTTCCTCCTCGTTTGGTTAGGAAGACTTTTGAAAGCAACGAGGAAAATTAACTTAAATGGAAAGTGGCGCATTTCGGGCTTGTTGGACATGCGAAACATGGCCCAACTGAATTCATTTTGAACTCAGATACTTCAGGTTCGGCCTAAGGCCAGTCAGTGATGGCATGTGCATAGAGCGGGTTTCTCAATATTGGATCATTCCTGCCCAATTCTTTAATTCATTGTTGGAAAGCCTTGTGGGCCTGAGGAAACTCATTGATGGTATACTGTTTTATCCAAAGCCTTTATTTACTCCCAAACCCTCCTTTATTTACTCGCAAACCCTATATGTTCCATGATCTGAGGAAGGAAGTTGCTATATCACACACTCCATTTTTTTTATTTGTTCATTTTCTTTTCTTTTTTTTATTTTTTTGTTAAGAAGTTATCCATTTCCAAACATTAAAGAACCTTTCTTGTTAGGATAACCAAACTGAGATTTTCAAATCAAATGAAAAGTCACATTTGGTTTATATATTATTATTATTATTGCTCACAAGATTGATCAATGATGGTTTTTCCTTTATCTTTTTTTTAAAAAAAAGAATAAATGATAATAAAAAAATGATTTAGCGTTGATTAACACGTAATTATATATTAAAAAATACTGATGTAAAAATTAAATAAAGCAATTTTTCTTGATCATCACAATGGTACAATCACTACGCTATTTTGTTATAAAGCAAATGCTACAAATCTTGCTTTTTATTCCGAACTATGGTGTCTTTATGAGGTTAACAAATTAAAACCTTTAATTATTTATCATTTACACGGTGAGATTTTGATGACATTCTAAAAAATTAAACAAATAAAATATCATTTACACGGTAATTAAAATTTTCTCAATTAAAAAAAAAAAAAAAAAGACAACAAATTCATTAAAACAAATTCAAAGAGCGTTCGGCTTGGCTGAGTTTGCCTGTTGAACTTTTTTGGGCTTGTGTTGGACTGAATGGGCCTAATACGAAATCCATCTTGCATGCCTCTAGTTAATTCTCCCATGAGTCCAAGATCAAGAATAATGGACGACTTCTGTAACTCTTCCCCATCTTTCTTGAATGATTCAGCCGTTGATTTCCACCGGATGGATGCTTTATAGTGGATGTCATTGGATTCAGTATTTAAAGAAAAACAAAAAATCAATGAGTTGATACCACAAAATATGATATAAAATATAATTAATTTATTAAAATCTCAAAAATCCATGTTCACAAATCCTTTCAAAAACTTCCCTTTTTACAAAATCGTCTCTGCACG